CCAAAGCAAACCTTTTTTTATATATTTATCACCCCTCTATGGCTCCAAAACAAGACGGGAGAAGCCAAAAGGGTACCTGAGTGCCCTCTAGTGCTCTGTGGGAAATTACCAGTGCACACCAGCACCTCGAACCTACGCAACTGACCCCACCATGTGACCGTGGAAAATTATGGGACACTTGAGTCTATAAACTTTAAATACCCTGAACGTTTCTTGAGCGTCGATTCGCTTGCGCAGTGTTTGCACTGTACAGGACTCATTTCAGTGAGACTGTAATGCTCACTCTGTAAAGTTGGTGCCTCTCAAGAGCTCCAAAGTTCAGGAAGAAACCAATCTGCTTCAAGTCTTATCACATCATTCAGTCATGAGGCTTTTCACACATCAAACAGCTCATCAAAACTCAATGATTTACCACGATGTGTTGATGTGTTCATGCATGCGCTGTAGGTGTTTATGCATGTATGTGGGATGGAGAGCGTAGAGAGATAAAGAGGCCCAGGAAGCCATAATCTGCCAGTATGGTGATATGTTAGCGTTATCATGATAAGCACATGATACATCACAGTACACATGTATCTTTCAGTTCTAGGCAGCACCAAAATGGGTTCTGTTATTGCTACGATGTCAAGCTTGTAACAATAGCAAAACCCTTTTCGTGCTATATAGAACCCGTTTCAAAAAGGTTCTACATAGAACCATTTATAACACATTGTCCATCAATCTGAAGAACCATTTCGCCATGCAAAGATCCATTTAAACATAAAATGGTTCTATATAGAACTCATGGTTCTAAATAGAACCATTCCTGTTACTAAAGAACCCTTGAAGAACCATCTTTTTAAGACTGTAGAGAGCCTGTAAACAATAATAACCACTGTACAGTAATTGCATAAACTGTGTATCATGCAGTAACATGTGGCTCATTAGATGTCAGCCCATTGTAGCATCTTCTTATTTATTAGTTTGTTTATAACCATTTGAATGATTGTTTTGTTGTTTGTTTTTTGTGTTCCTGCTTAAATACATACTCAGTTTCAAACCAGCTGAGACAGTTTGTGAAACACTAATAAAAACAAAAAGCAGTGATTAGTAAATGCTTAAGCTGTATTAAACTGAAAACTGTACAAAAACACTATTTGATGTTTTTTTCTTTTAGGAAGTGTATTATTTTTAGTACATATTTGCTTAATCCAAATGTGATGCCTCCAAAATGTTCTAAAAAAGTTAGGACTGCAGTACGTTTACCACCATGTTACATCACCTTACATTCTATCAGCACCTCGTTTGGGGACTGAAGACACCAGTTAATCCAGTTTTGAAAGCATATTGTTTTTGACATTCTTCTGTTACAGAAGTCTTCAGCTGCACAACCATAGAGGGCCTTTGTTATTGTATTTTGCACTTCACAATGTGCCAGATGTTTCAGTGAGAGACAAGTCTGGACTGCAGGCAGGCCAATCAAGCATCCAAACTCTCTGATTACACAGACATACTGTTGTAATACATGCGGAATGTGGCTTGGTGTTGTCACGTTGAAATAAGCATGGACGTCCCTGAAAAAGACATTGTCTAGAAGGCGCATGGTTGATGTTGTTGTGTTAAATGTGCTCTATAATTAATATTTATTTACTTATTTACTATATGGAAGTTATCTATTCCATGAGCACTAATACCCCCCCTGCCAAGACAGACATCAACTTTTTAACTTTAAGCTGGTGACCGTCCAGATGGGCCTTTTCCTTTGGCCCAGAAAACACAATCTGTGTTATTTCTATAAACAATCAGAAGGGTTGACTCATCTGACCACAATACACTTTTGATCATGTAATTGCTGGACTGAGAATAGTCCACCAACCAAAAATATCCAGCCAACAGCGTCCTGTGGGCAGCGTCCTGTGACCACTGATGAAGGACTAGAGGATGCCCAACACAAACTGTGCAGCAGCAGATGAGCTATCGTCTCTGACTTCACATCTACAAGGTGGACTGACAGGTAGGAGTGTCTAATAGAGTGGACAGTGAGTGGACACAGTGTTTAAAAACTTCAGCAGCACTGCTGTGTCTGATCCACTCGTACCAGCACAGCACACACTAACACACCAGTGTTACTGCAGTGCTGAGAATGATCCACCACCCAAATGGTACCTGCTCTGTGAGGGTCCATGGGGGTCCTGACCACTGAAGAACAGGGTAAAAGGGGGCTAACAAAGTATGCAGAGAAACAGATGGACTACAGTCTGTAACTGTAGAACTACAAAGTGCACCTATATAGTAAGTGGAGCTGATAAAATGGACAATGAGCGTAGAAACAAGGAGGTGGTCATAATGTTATGCCTGATTGGTGTTTTGTATGATGTTGTGTAATTACGTGCATATGTGTTATGATGAGTTTAAATGAGGTGTGGTCACTATTTCTGAGGATCTGTATCACATATGATGAATAGGGTCAGGGGTGTAGCTAGAACGTTTAGGATGGGGTAGCAGGTAAGACACCAGAGATTTTATTGGAGCGGCAAACTGCTCAGAAATTAAATTAATAAATGAAATAGCATTACTGTATTAAAATGACATATAAATCGATGTGTTGTTTTTTTCTCTGTACATAACTAAATGTGTCATATCCACATGAATACAATATTACACCAATACAGCTATTGCTGAAAGTAAAGTGAAAGACAAAATTGTGCTGATGTAACATATTTTAGTCATTTATGAGGAAATGATGGATTTAAAGTAAATGTATCAATGCTTTATTGCGCAATGTTAACTCTAAAGAAAACATTTCATATAGACAGTCCATAGAAGTTATTCATTTAGGTTGTGTTGACTACAGATTATAATTATATAATTAATGATTGCAAAGCCAGGCAGGCAGCACTGTATAAGGTAACCTACAACACATGCATGTGCTCAGCTGTAAAAAGGAATTAGTTAGCACAATAAATGATGCGGATAAATTAGAACTGACTAATTTTTGATAGTTAACTCATCTTTACATCACATTGCTTCCTTCATAATGTAGCTCACAGAGCAGCACTGCTGAATTCATTCGCCTGTTTGCTGAGCAGATTAACCTGTTATTATACATTATTAAATGCAGCATCATCACTCATAAAACTAGTTGGTAACCAGATTTTCACCATAAACTGATGGCTGACCAATAATGGCTGACTATCTCACTTTTCAGGGTGACCATGCGTCATTTCCACCCCTTGGATGTGCCTGTGAATTGGGTGTAAGGAAAGAGCAAAAAGGCCCACTCTTTCACCTGTTTTTCACCCATCTACACTCTTCATACTCTTTCCTCCCCGTGTTATTAGTACTGTGAAACAGGTATTAGTCTCTGAGATCTCCTAATTTCTTGGTACGCTGTTTCTAGAAAAAAGGCTTAAAATGAATCACTCGTCTTTTTCCTGCGCTAGGCAGGAGGCAATGATGTGACATCAGCTGAAATCCTGGCTTTACTCTACTATCTGAGCGGAATCCTTTCATTTAGCTGCTCTGCTCACCAGTAGATGACCAGATGCTTGTCCCTCATGTGTTGTGCAGTGAGAGATCTAGTGCACAGGGCCACTCAGGAAATGAGTTCAAACGGGGTGATCTGAGTGAAAGGCTGTTGTTGTATAAGGCCTGCCGTGAAAGTCTTGAAAAGACTTTCCAATATAGCCAAAGGCTTCATACAGTGGGTTTGATTACTTCTGTGTATACTATCTATTATCACTGCACTCACATAGCATTACACAACAGCACAGCATTGTGCTTTACATTGACTTCTTCGTAAGACGGGCCAGACAGAAATCACTGTAACAGCGTTTTATAATTTTACAAGTTATCCTAATTATGGCCTAACTTTTTAATTTTATAATTTTATTTATTTATCTGTGCTTTTTTTGTCTGTGGAATTTATAAAGAGCTCATTTGAGATTTTTTTTATGTTACTTTGTTGCCACCTAGTGGTCAAAACGTAGAAGACAATGAAAAATGTACCAAGAGCAATGAATTGTTCTTTATAAATCTTAAAATATTATTGTTTAATATTTGTAAAAATGTAAGAAAAAATATAATCTGTTCCATAATGGGGTTGCACATTGTTTGATTAATAGAAAAGAATAGAATAAAGTAGAATGAAATCGAATAGAACTGAATAGAATGTCTGCACTGGAGATTGCAGTAACTTTTATGTACTAACATGTATTTCTAATTATCTCAAGCGATTAATAACGTGTTAAAATATCACGCTATTTATGTATTCTTTACGGAGCCCCGCTGGTGACGTCCTGTGGCCACGACTTAGTAAGGCGTGGGATTGAGATGATTAAGTCGTGGCCATGATGCTTTACTAAGTCGTGGCCATGACTTAATCATCTCAATACCTACTAAGACGTGGCTACGCATTATTTTTATTTATACAGGATGTCACCAGCAGGGCTCCATACTGGCCCTAGTTTCCCAGGTTTCTTGTCTTACCCCGAATCTCAAATGGCCCCCTACACCCTACGTAGTGCACTACATGGGCTCCTTCTCCCAGAAACAGCGCATAGCATGTCTAATAGAGGGCCATTTGGAATTCAACCACGTGTCCACAGTTCCTTCCTGGACATACAGCGCACTATTCGCGTGCAGACGTCAAAATCACATAACTCACATAGTGCACGTACTATATAGGGAATAGGGAACCATTTGGGATTCAGCCGTATTCTTCGACTACAACACGCAACGCGTGCGGATAAACACAAACCCTCCCGATCGACCGTGACGGTTTCACTTTCTAATCAATAACTGACTCACCCAGCTGAGCAGAAACCGGGGCTGACCGTTCTGTTTGTGTTTATGAATCGCTAATGAGCCTGTTCTTCGGCGAAATCCCATTGGTTGCTCTCGCGGCTCCTCGCATAGCCATTGGCTGCCGGGCTGAAGAGGCGCTCCGCGATTGGCCAGAGCAGGCGACGCGGAGTGCGCGGTCGAGCCCCATTGGTCCGATAAGTAGGTTAGTGGTGCGCTGCTTATTACAGCGGGGAGGAAAGTAGGTCAGTGTAAATATGTACAGTCCTAACGCTGCGCCGTCCATGTTCGCGTGATGATACATGTGCTTCACTGCCTTCTTCGAGTGAGTACGACCTTTTCAGCTCATAGATTCTGTATTACTCACCCCTGCGTGTGTATATATGTGTCATGCGCCGACGTTGTTTTAGCCCGTTCTTTTGTTTTTGTACTTGGCGGCTGGGGGGTGCGAAGTAGGCTACAGCCTGACTTTCACTGCATAACTTTTAAAGCCCCTCAGAGGGGAGAGGCGCTAACTTCATCTGAGACTCCTATTGAATAAAATAGGGCTGTGGTTTGTAGCTGTGACGGGTCTAAAGTCTCAGTCCGACTGTTATTAATTCATTTCAACGTCAGTCGGTGTAAAAATGCTGAGCCCCGCTGTGTTTCCAGCCGTCGTTTCCCTGTGTGGTGCACTGGCAGCCACAATGAGCTCAATAATAACAGGCGGTTTGTCGCGCCTCCGTGCGCGGCTCACATCGCTGAAGCCCTTTGTTTGATCTGTTGCACGGTGACTAATGTTAATGTGTCAGATGGTCCATCTCATTCATAGCCTACAGCTTGAAAATGAGCATATATTGGATGAAAAGCAGCGAAAAGCGCTGTAACGTTAGCCTTTCCCCCCTGGCTGCTGTATGTAAGTATGCACGACACGTATTGGTGCAGCAGGCTAATAAACAGCCCCTCAGTCTTGGTGGCCTTAAGGCGTGTTGGTGGTGGCTTTGAGCTGCGAGTGTTCATCCCTGACCTGATGGAAGACAGTTTTCTGCCCTGCTGTACGGTCCAGTGTGATGCCCCGCTATGTTGTGCTGTGTACTGCTTCCTGGAGATGCTTATAGATGAGCATATATGGGCAAATACCATAAAGGCTCAAGCATATATTTCAATATTTGTACCACTTAATTAAGGACAGCTCCACTTACTATATAGGTGCACTTTGTAGTTCTACAGTTACAGACTGTAGTCCATTTCACCCTGTTCAGTGGTCAGGACCCCCACAGGACCACCCCAGAGCAGGTATTATGTGAGCGGTGGATCACAGTGATGCTGACTTGGTGGTGGTGTGTTAGTGTGTGTTGTGCTGGTGGAAGTGGATCAGATACAGTAGTGCTGCTGGAGTTTTCAAACACATCAGTGTTGCTGCTGGACTGTGAACCAAAAATATCCAGCCAACAGCGTCCTGTGGGCAGCGTCCTGTGACCACTGATGAAGGACTAGAGGATGACCAACACAAACTGTGCAGCAGCAGATGAGTTATTGTCTCTGACTTTACATCTACAAGGTGGACTGACAAGGTAGGAGTGTCTAATAGAGTGGACAGTGAGTGGACACAGTGTATAAAAACTCCAGCAGCACTGCTGTGTCTGATCCACTCATACCAGCACAATATACACTAACACACCACCACCACATCAGTGTTACTGCAGTGCTGAGAATGATCTGTGGTGGTCCTGTGGGGGTCCTGATTGGTGTAGAACAGAGTGAAAGGGGGCTAACAAAGTAAGCAGAGTCTGTAACTGTACAACTACAAAGTGCACCTATATAGTAAGTGGAGCTGATAAACTGGGCAGAGAGATTAGATATAAGGAGGTGTAGTTACTGAAGTGGCTGGTACAGTTATGTTTAGTTTGAAATATTAAATTATTTAAATGAGCCAGAGATCAAAATTTCATGTGTTAATGACTTTACTGCATAGCTTATGATGTGCATGTATGTAAAATTTAGTTACATAGCTAGTATGCAAATGTTAACTTTAATGTTCTATATGTATATGTTTGTATATGTTGATATCTGGCTAAATATCGCTGCTGTCGAAACGAAACCTCGTATCTCCAAAATGGTAACTTTACAGGAGAAGGAAAAAACATACTTTACTTATAATGTAAGTCAGATTTTTTCCAGGTAATTTTGGGCCGTTTCCTTTGGTCCATTCATCATGAAATTTACACACAATGTAAAGAACAACAAGCATTTTCCAAATATGTCAAAAACTGAAAAATGTCAAAAATGGAGATATGAGGTTTTCTTCCAACAACAGCGATATATATCCTACATTTGAGAACGGACAATTTCAAAAAGTTGGTATATATGTCCATATGTTACAAAAATAAGTTAGATATAAGGGAAATCCATATATGATAATGTGTCATATATCTGAAACCCATATATTGCACATATATCAGACTTAATAGGCCTGTATTAGCAGTCTGTGTTGTCCCAGCATGCTTCAGTTTTCTTCCTGCACAGTGAGCCTGATGATTAGAGCGAAAAGGCTGCACTGAGTGAAGAGAACACAGAAAGCAAAGACAATGTGCTGAGCAGGAAGGTGAGAAGGAGCAGATGTTCAGTGCAAAGAAAGAATATATGTAAAAAAGAGTTTTTAGGCTGAGAAATGAGAGCAGAATGCAGGGCAACACGGCAGAGATGATCTAGGTATCCTGATCTGTCGAGGCTGATAGCTTCACCTTTATAAAAATGGAAGAATTACTAAATCTGTCCAATGCCGATATCATTCCGATCACCGTGCATCCCCACAACGTAGCGAGTTCTTGTTTGTTTGTTTTTGTTTTGGGTGTTGTTGACATGAATAAGTGCATGTTTTTCTTCTTTTGCTGTAGATACTTTTCCACTTTGTCACCTTTTTATCAGTATCTATTATCCGACTCGTTCTCATTTCCTCTCTGATGTATTAAGCCCAGTGTTTGTTCACGCAGTGGATAATAATGGTATTTGTGAGGACAGACGGCTCAGCATGTGTTTACGGTCCACGTGAGAGGAAGTCTTAGTTGTTTACCAACTGCTTTGGGATGGATCCATAGGAGCAGGCTGCGAGCGAGGAGAAACGGAAAACAGAGCTCTCTGGGAAGGCTATTAACATATCTCGCTCATGTTTAGGTCAGCTACAGTGAGTCAGAGAGCCCGGGAGAGTTTAGATTAGGTTGGGAGGGTCGGCTGTGCTGAACTATGAATTAAAGTCAAGTCTGTATTTAACTTCTCCCGACAAGTTGGTGCATCTTTGAAGCAAGTGAAATGGGAGAAATCATTCCGGTCTAAATTAGGTGGTTCTGCTTTCCCCATCTAAAGACAAATATTTGTTCTGAGGTTCTTGAAGGAAAAACTTTCCATAAGGCGGACAACTTTATGTATTCTCACCAGTATGAATATATAGAGGGATAACTCTCCCACTAAGGTCTTTATCAGTCTTTCACTGCTTTTATTGCTTTTTTATTGTTTTTTAATTTATCTATCCGAAGCATTTGAATCACATAGATACAATACTTTCCTGAAAAAGTCAGTGTTATGGTAATATACACTGATCAGGCTGAACATTATGACCACCTCCTTGTTTCTACACTCATTGTCCATTTTATCAGCTCCACTTACTATATAGGTGCACTTTGTAGTTCTACAGTTACAGACTGTAGTCCATCTGTTTCTCTGTGTACTTTGTTAGCCCCCTTTCACCCTGTTCTTCAGTGGTCAGGACCCCCAAGGACCCTCACAGAGCAGGTACTATTTGGGTGGTGGATCATTTCACTGACATTGTGGTGGTGTGTTAGTGTGTGTTGTGCTGGTCTAAGTGGATCAGACACATCAGTGCTGCTGCAGTTTTTAAACACTGTCCACTCACTGTCCACTCTATTAGACACTCCTACCTTGTCGGTCCACCTTGTAGATGTAAAGTCAGAGACGATAGCTCATCTGCTGCTGCACAGTTTGTGTTGGGCATCCTCTAGTCCTTCATCAGTGGTCACAGGACGCTGCCCACAGGACGCTGTCGGCTGGATATTTTTGGTTGGTGGACTATTCTCAGTCCAGCAGTGACACTGAGGTGTTTAAAAACTCCAGCAGCTCTGCTGTGTCTAATCCACTCAGACCAGCACAACACACACTAACACACCACCACCACGTCAGTGTTACTGCAGTGCTGAGAATGATCCACCACCCAAATAGTGCCTGCTCTGTGAGGGTCCATGGGGGTCCTGACCACTGAAGAACAGGGTAAAAGGGGGCTAACAAAGTATCAGAGAAACAGATGGACTACAGTCTGTAACTGTAGAACTACAAAGTGCACCTATATAGTAAGTGGAGCTGATAAAATGGACAGTAAGCGTAGAAACAAGGAGGTGGTCATAATGTTATGCCTGATTGGTGTATAACTAGTGTAGTTAATCAGCTATACTTGTGTTGTTGATGCAAGCTGATTTTTTCTGTCAAATAAAAATAAAGACAGAATTTTAAACAAACAAAAAAACTTTGTCTAAAGTATATTGTATATCAAATATAAAGTATATCAGTATATTGGCTGAATCTGCTTTACAGATGTGGATATGATCTTCAGTAAAGCAGCACTAAGACACTTCGGATGAACCAAAATACAAATTCTAACAATACCTGTATACTTTTAGTTTTTGACCTTTTATGTCTTGAAAATCATAAACAGTCTTTTTAAGGCAGTTCAGGATTTTATTTTTCCTGTTTTTATAGCTTTTCTTGAAATATCAAGCAGCAAACAGTCCTATTCTTTCAATATAGAACTGGATCACATGCACATGTGTTTCATCTAGTAACCTCAGGTTTGCCTGAAGACACAGCTTCAGTAAGATGGGCTCAAAATGAATGAATGCCACGTGAGCTTTGTGGCTTCCTGCCTAAATATAGCGATGGCCAAATTTGCTTTGTGGTTGTTGGAGTCAGGGTGCGTCCGTGGTTTAGGTGGACTTCCGCAGGTGACCTAGTATTGTCAGTGGGCCTTGTGCTGAGCTTCGAAGCGCAGTGGGAGGAACTGAGTATCGCAGTATGTACAGTTATAATGCTTCATATTGCAGTTGTGGTATGTGCTGAACTCTAGGCTTATTATTCACTGATTACACTGAAGACATAGTATCCAGTAACTACAATTGAAGTCTGAGCCACCATTAGAGCTAAAAATGTTAAATCTTTTTAATCCTGCAAAGGAAAATTTGTCAATTTGCTGCCTAACTATATTCAGTCTGGGAGCAACACGGGGGGTTAATGCTGCGTTTGACTGAAGCTTATAACCCAGAATTTCCCACCTGAATTTTGGTAGTCCTATGGCTAGGAAAACGCCCACTCAGCTGGAAATTTTCTTCTCGGAAAGTCGGGATGGTGGTCTCAACTCCCAGCTCGGTTTATGATGTGAAATCATCATGGCTGCTCACGCCGTCAGTTGTAATGATAATCACTTCTCTACTTTAAATGATATTTGCTTTAGATCAGTCAACATAAAGACACAGTGATTGGTCAAGCCTATAATGTTGACCATAAAGTTCACTGCTTTGAGAGTGTAAATACGTTTATCACTCATATCACTAACATAAGCTGGCTAGGTTATTGATAACAATACTCGCTTACCCTTCTCACTGGCACACTTCCATCCAAGCATTCACTTCTGTTTTTTTTTATGCATCATTTTCATGCATCAAATCAATCAGCAATACGGTGATGCAGTATTTTCTGTTAGAAAGCTTGAAATCTCAAGATTCAATTCCTGCAAACCATTTAATGATCCATCCACAGCAGTAACGGTCGTCTCATTTGCAGCATAAGCATCGAATGAGCAAACGCTAGCAAATCTGTGGGTCTTACCCTCAAAGCCTCGCCGCTGTCCACAGAGACAAAATCCAAAAGACGTGGTCTTGATAACGCAGCAAGAGTCAGAGATCAGTTTAGAGATCTGTGAGTCAGGCGGAAATAAACCCCTTCGTTCTAGACTCTCTTACTCTGTGTCAGTAATTTCTACAATTTTTCTGACAGTTGGAAAAAAAGTTGAGTGTTGTCTTTCAAATGAGATCATGCACTCAAGCCTAGATCATGGCTGTAGCCCAGAGTATGTGAAAACAGTGCTCTTTTTACTTTGGAATGCCGTTTCAGGCAAATATGTGGTGGCAGTTCACAGGTGAAACAGTACTCATGGAGGCATCCTTGTTTTTCCCACTCTGTAGCTCAAAAGAATGGCATATTTCCAAACTCAGACTTCCCAGCCAAATCAAACACAACATTAGCTCCAACCAGGAATACCCAGTCAGTCCTGGGATTTGAATCCATGACCTTCTGGTTGCTGGCTCACCTCTCCCACCACTAGGCTAAATCGGACATGATTTAAAATTAGTCTGCACTGTTTTGACTAAAAATATTTATGTTTGTTGGATCACTTGAATGCCTTGATTCATAAAAAAACACCCACTGAAATGGGCTGGAGGTTAGGGAAGCAGCCTTGTGACCGGAAGGTCGCCGGTTAGAGCCGACAGTACGTGACTGGGGTGCCCTTGAGCAAGACACCTAACCCCCCTAACTGCTCCCCAGGCGCTGTGGATAGGGCTGCCCACCGCTCCAGGCAAGTGCGCTCACTGCCCCCTAGTGTGTGTGTTCACTAGTGTGGTGTTTCACTGCACAGATGGGTCAAATATGGAGGTTAAATTCCCCCATTGTGGGACCAATAAGAGTCGCTTAATCTAATCTTAGAAACTCATCTGGCGCATGAACGATTGGTGAGGATGCTCACAAAAAAAGTGATTCATTAGAGGGTTTGTTTGCGTATTGTAACCTTCTGCAGTGTTAGTATAAAAATGGCAATAATAGCAAAGCGCTGATATAGAATTTTCAATAACTTTTTTTTTGCATTTATAAGCAAGTTCACTCTGTGATTAGATAAGGAATGGGGAATCTAAGGCTACGTTTACACAGCAGGTGAAAGTGGCCCTAATCCGATCTTTTTCTTCATATGTGACACAGATGTGTGTCTGTTTGTCAGTGTGAACAGATAAACACACTGAATCTGACATTTTCAATTCCGATTTGAGACACTTTCATATGTGGTACTGAAATCCGATACGGATCCAATCTGCGGCGATGCGACTCCGCCTGAACAGCCAGATCGGAATTCATGCGACTTTTAAGTCAGTCCAACTCCACGTTCGTCATAATTTCGCGCTGCTGAGACTCATAAACGTTTAGGCTGATGTTTCTGTACCAAAAAATTAGCAGAGACTCATCAAAGCGCTCCGTGTTCAAAGAGGTTTCGAATGAAACGGCCGAACGCGGCCGGAGGAGACCGAGGCTGCAGCGTCAGAGAACAGTTTAAAGAATCCGAGGACATGAACCAAAGAAGTGGCCGTGGCCGAATAACGAGCCCTTTTTACAGGGAACTCGAACACATTGTGGGTGATGAGCCCAGCTGTCAACCACTGGAACTTCATAATCGCTCCTGTGATGCTGGCAAAGATGAAACTGAAAGCTTCGGGCGTTCACTGACCATCATGATTGTTTACCTCTGGACGAGCCACGAGACGCACTGTTCTTTAGAGCATGCGAGTCGGTTTAGGAGCTGATCTGTTCAGACTGATGTCGCATATGGATCACATTTAAAAGATAATGTGAACAGCCAAACAAAAAAAAACGGATTTGGTGAGAAAATCAGATTTGGGCCACTTTTACCTGCTGTGTAAACGTAGCCTAACCTCTAATCTTCTGTACGCAGGGTGGTTATGTTTTCCAGTATGCTATCTAGCGAGTGTGCATACTAAAAATGACAGAATTATCAGTTGTAATGACCTGTAGTTCTAACAGCACACCTCTGATAATAAAAGCTAAAATTCCCTGTGTATCAGCTGATAATATACCGGCTGCCTGTCTGTGTTTCACCCTCAGTGATAGTGATCAACAAGCAATGTTTTGAACAGCCCCATAGAGAAAGCGTGAAGGGGAACGGATACTGTAGTATCACGATGGTTAAACAGCTTGCCGTGCTGTGGCAGCCTCTGAGCTTTGGCTAAGAAACTGTGGCCTCCCACGATCTCCTCTGCAGCACACCATCTGTGGATCACCCATCTGTCACCCATACTGCCTTACTCATCACAAGAAGTTGTTTATTGATGACCCTACAGCCCAGCTGCTAACCTGTACTCCGCTTCTAGCAGTACAGTCAGTGAGAAGTCCACATGTGAGTGGGCATAGCTGTTCATAATGCAGTCAGAGAAAAAATCCACAAATAGTGGCTATGACTGTTCATAGTATACTCAGTCGGAAGCCCACATATGAGTGACCATGACTGTTAATAAAAGGGATGTTACGATTGCAACAGAAGTATTGTGTCAAATTGTATTTCTTGAATGTTGAATGCTTTACCATTAATATATTAATCCAAGGCACATTAGATAAGAATGTAATGAACCTTTTAGCCAACTGTGTCTGACCACATCGGAATTAGACCTCCGCATTTAACCCATCTGTGCAGTGAAACACCACATACACACTAGTGAACACACACACACTAGGGGGCAATGAGCACACTTGCCCGCAGCGGTGGGCAGCCCTATCCACGGCGCCTGGGGAGCAGTTGGGGGTTAGGTGCCTTGCTCAAGGGCACTTCAGTCACGTACTGTCAGCTGAGGGGATCGATCCAGCGACCTTCCAGTCACAAGGCTGGTTCCCTAACCTAAAGCCCACGACTCCCCAGTGTCCCTCATATCATAATATGAATCATATTGAATCAAATAATGGATGCTGTGAATCTTTACACCCCTAGTTAATAATACGCTCAGTAAGTCCACACATGTGTATTCATGACCTGGTGCTTGTCCCTCTTTTCTGTAGGTTTAGTGCCTGTTCACATATCTGGAGGTGAAGGCTATCACTGGGAACTGGACACTGGTCACCTCTAAGGTATGTACCCTTTAGTCCATAGTCAACAATTGATGTGAAAGGTGTTGCAGTTTTGAGTGGCCATCAGCTGTGTTGTAAATGTTGACTATGAGCTTCATATTTAGTGGGATTGTTGTAAAATGCCGTAGAAAATGCAAGAATTTGCCACAAGTTTATACAGGTTTCAGTTATTCTGTTTCAAAGGGCATAAACTTATGCTGGTTAACTCCTCCCATTATCATGCGTCTCGACTGATCTGATCAGACTTGTATGGTGCTAAGTACAGCTGTGAGTGGGGTTTGTTGTGTTTCGGAGATGCGTTGGGATCTGATCAGTCAAACCACCTTTGGAGGTGGTCAGGGATGAATTAGGAAGAAATTCTGCAAAATAATCTAATGACTTTTTTGCCATATAACATTAGAGTCTGTTAGGATAGAACTCATGAAAGAAGTTGCAAGACGAGATGCTGCATCTCGGCTCCAAAGTGTCCAACAACGGCTGGTTTTGAACGACTAAGAATGGACGCAAATCCTTGGCAATAAAAGTTGTGATAGAGTTTGTAATTCGCCTCCAAGTTGGGTGGAAGCTTTGGCATCACTTGTTCCTCTGGTTGGCAGCAACTGCAACGGAAAACAGGTGGAAACATGTAATTTGCTTTCTCATGTTTGTCGTTTCCAAAATATTTTAGTTTAGTGTGACACAACTCGCATATGGTATGGCTCCTGTCCAGGTCCCTTTTCCCCTGGCGTGCAGACTGCAGGTCACCTAGCAACGCAGTCTCACTTAGCTAATAGCTAACGACAAGGCAAAGAGATAGATTTAAGACAAACATTAGTCTAACTAGTCAGTTAAAAAAAATAGTTGACTGGTTGTCATTACTATGTCAGTGCAGTCTTATGCAGCTTGCAGTGCAGTTGGTTTAGTCTTGTGTAGCGTTTCCACACTAATAAGGTACTTTGGGCTTTTTCTTTTGCAGAAAAACTGTTTCTCTTTTGTCCTCCAGCCTTTTCACTGCAGTTTTTACCACCTCAAGTCTTAGACTACCACCAATTGCAGTGCCAATATTAAATCACCAGCCCTTAGTGTAGATATACACTGTATGGTTAAAATGTATGTGGACATCTGACCATCACACTAATAAGAGCTTGTTGGTTTCCAAAACAATGGGTATTAATATGGAGTTGTCCCCCCCTTTGGGGTCATAATAGCCTCCACAGTATAAGGAAGACTTTCCACAAGGTTTTGGAGTGTGTTTGTGGGAATTTGTGTTGGACACGAAGGCCTGGCTTGCATCTGATGTTTCATAGGAAAAGGTGTTAACGTCAGGGATCTCTGCAGGCCACTGAAATTCAGCCACACCAGATTTGTCTTTATGGACCTCGATTCCTGCTGGAACAGGAAATGGTCTTTCCCAAACCGTTGGAAGCATCTAATTGTGTAAAATGTCTTTGTATAGCATTACCCCACCTTCTACACTGAAACTAAGGGGCCTAGACCAAACCCTGACAAACAGGCCTAGACCATTATCCCTCCTCCACCAAACTTCACTATTGGCACAATGTAGACGAGCCAGACTCGTCCGTCAGACTGACAGACGTGATTCAGCACTTCAGGGAACGTTTCCACTGCTCCAGAGTCCAGTGGCGACACCGTTTATTCCCCTCCAGCTGACTCTCGGCGTAAGTGATCTTAGGCTTTTGCAGCTCCTTGGCTATGGAAACCAAATTCCTGAAGCTCTTAACGCACAGTTCTTGTGCTGATGTTGTCTCCAGGGACAGTTTGGGACTCTGTAGAGAGGGATACAACGGAAGCTAGGTGACTTTTATGTGCTACGTGACCTCAGCGACCTGAGTTTGCATGGTCTCCTGCTTTGGGCTGAGCTGTTGTTGCTCCTAGATGCTTCCATTTCACATCAATAGCACTTACAGTTGACTGGGGCAGATCTAGCAGGGAGGAAATCTCACAAACTGACTTGTGGCAAAGGTACCTTTCTATGACAGCGCCTCGTTTAAAGTCACCAAGCTCTTCAGTACGACCCATTCTATTGCCATTGTCTATGGAGATTGCATGGCTATGTACTTGATTTTATGCACCTGTTAGCAACGGGTGTGTCTGAAACACCTTAATGATTAGAAGGGGTGTCCACTTACTGTTCTGACCATACAATATATAATGGTATATAATGGTGTAATAGTGAAGTCTGTGATTGTTATTGAACAATGGAGTTGACATTTGAAACCTAACTCAAGACACTTACACGGGAATTGACCCCTGACCTTATTTCGATATATGGTGGTTATAGAGGTGATAAATGAATAACAGAAGTGTAAAAAGCCTGAATAACAGTGGTACAACAGTGAAACCGGACAGCAGTTTGAGTGCGTTCAGTGTGGTCAGCTGAACTGGTTGGTCTTTGAGGCCACTGTGGAAAAGGAAAGAGGAGGTAGTTAAAGCACTGCTGACTCATTTAAGCACTGTGTGTTAACAGGCTTATCCAGATGACCTACATTCACCCAGCCCTCTTTTTTTTTTTGGAGCCTTTATGTTTTTTGCCTTCTCTCCATCCGACCAGCAGCCTTTTATTTCTGCTAATGTAACCAGCCTACTTTTTCTTCGTGTCATCTGCTAGCAGGGAGGTAATGATGGATAATTTGACCGACACATCCTCTCCATCCTCACCCTTTTATTCTCCATCTGCTCATTTTCACAGCAGACCTGGAATTAGAAATACATTTTCAAAAGCACTTTTCCGTCATCTGATGGTCGGTTGGAACATCTTATAATATCGCATGAGACTCAAAACAAATGGAGTACAGATGTGGTGACTCTTCGATTTCCAGATCCACCCCTGCGATTGTACTGCAGTTTGCCAACCATGCAGGAAATGCGTTAACCCAATATTAATTGTTGCCGTTTAAAGCTACACCTAGGAAAACTTGTTAGTCCACTTAGTCCACTTGGAGGACTGATTGATTTTGATCTCTCTTGCTTAAGATAAAAGGCAATAGAAGTTATACCAAAAAGAGAAGTGTGCGCATGAAAAGATGATCGAGCTTCTTTTGGCATTTGCCCAAGAACGCTGCCCCACTGCTGTATCCAGGTAACAGGAAGATCATAAACCATCAGCTTTGCCAGCAAACTCAAACACGCTTTTATGGCTGTTTGTTTGCCATCTGATATCTGATACATCAGTTCATTAATAAAATCGGCTGGTATTAAAATTCTGCGTATTTACTGGTATCTGAGAAAATCACACTGATAAACCAGCAATATTTGAGGTTTTTTTTGTCAAGAGGTTTTTTTTCTCATTAAAAAGCAGTGCATTTTGTTACAGCTGTATGAGCGAATTAAATGTTTCAACCAATATCAAATACACCGATCAGGCATAACATTATGACCACCTCCTTGTTTCTACGCTCATTGTCCATTTTATCAGCTCCACTTACTATATAGGTGCACTTTGTAGTTCTACAGTTACAGACTGTAGTCCATCTGTTTCTCTGCATACTTGGTTAGCCCCCTTTTACCCTGTTCTTCAGTGGTCAGGACCCCCATGGACCCTCACAGAGTAGGTACCATTTGGGTGGTGGATCATTCTCAGCACTCAGTAAAAAACTCCAGCAGCACTGCTGTGTCTGATCCACTCAGACCAGCGCAACACACACTAACACACCACCACCACGTCAGTGTTACTGCAGTGCTGAGAATGATCCACCACCCAAATAGTACCTGCGAGGGTCCATGGGGGACCTGACCACCGTAGAGCGTAGAAACAAGGAGGTGGTCATAATGTTATGCCTGATTGGTGTATATCATGTGTATCAAATATACAGTCAGTGGTTCCAGCTCTTCCAAGGTTTGGGCAGTATGACAGTATTTATCGTTATCATGATAAATTATGTCACACTGTGCTTTTCTGAGCATAAAGTGGATATCGTGGGTACTTAAACACTGACCAACTGCATGTTTCATGACAAAGAGAGCATAATTAGTCCTGTTTAATTGGATTTAATGCATAGTATGTGAAATATTGAGTAACAGTCATTGGATTCATTAAAATGCAGCACTGTTTTAGCTTATCAGATGTAAAAAAAAATAAAATGTGACATAGTGTATCATAAAAAGATATTGAAGCATCAGGAGATTTCATTTTTGCCATATATCCCACGTCTACTTCCATGACTGTATAAAGTTGGGCAGAGCTGAACCTTTGTTGCGCCACTCAGAGTGTTCACTTTGCTTTGCCAACAGCTCCACTGCTGCGTTGTTGGCTCTCATTCAAAATGAATGAGCGTCTAAGCGTTGGCCCTGTCATTGGGAGATTGGGAGTCCTGTCTCTGGTGATGCCACAGCCATCTGTGTCAAGGAGTACTAGAGAGATCCCTGGTCTCCCTGTCTCTGGGTGGGTAGGATGGCCCCAGCACTATGCTAGCCTGGCTGGGTGTCTGTTGGGTAATGCATCAGAGTGTTTTAAGCTGTCCAACGAACAGACAGTTTGAAAAGATTGCATAGCTGGCTTCACATGATTTAGAGCAGCATGTACCAGCCTTAAACCTCCTAGTGCTGGTAGTATCATGTGACTGGGGGAGACCCAGGGGAGTTTGCTAAATTTAGGAGAAAAAATAATAGACTTCTGGCTGCTTTATCGCTGTCGGGGTTAGAAAGAAAGAAAATTATATTTATATTATTTATTTGTTTGTTGGCAGATCATTGACATGTTATTAACACATTATAAATGTTTTTTAGCAGGTTAACTTTGACAGTCCTGAGAATCGGTTTAGCTACTGTTATTGATTACCGAATTTCTTGAATTCCTTTTAAAATTCATATCTAGATGAAACATTAGACCAGCTGCACAGAGTTAATTAATTGTTGATCGAGCTTCTTTTGGCATTTGCCCAAGAACGCTGCCCCACTGCTGTATCCAGGTAACAGGAAGATCATAAATCAAAGCAAACTCAAACACACTTTTATGGCTGTGTTGAGAGTCCTGAGAATTAGTTCAGCTACTGTTATTGATTGTCGAATTTCTTGAATTCCTTTTAAAGTTCATATTGGTATCAGTAATCAGTGTCAGTCGGGCTCCAGATGAAACATTAGACCAGCTGCACAGAGTTATACAAGAATTATTCACTGACAAGAAGCACTCTCTACTGTAGAACATGCTCATTTTAGATGGTAACGCGTGAGGGGGCTGAGAGTGTTACGTGGCGTGTCTGATTCAGCGTCCTGACACACTGAAACCCTAGCGTCATCTGGATCGGCTGAAAGGTAGCGATGTAGTAAGGGGGAAAATAGGTCACTGGAGAATCTAATTACAAGCCGACTGGTGGCCGCTGGAGAGCATTAGCGCCGGTCCGATTCTGACAGCGGGGTGTAACCTGAGGTCTTCTGCTTTTCACGCACCTATTTTTGTAGGATTTCCATAAATCAGACAGTGAGAGTCAGCCCATTAAGTAGAAATGTTCACAGCCTGGGGAAACAAGGCATTCGAAGCAGCCTCAGCTCATTTCAGAATGTCGTGCGCTCTTAAAACGCTTTAAAAAGGTAATATTGCCAAAGCGCTTGGACAGGTTAACAAGATGAGATTCATCAAAGAGTAACTGCACCCTAAGACCTTTTTTTCCATTAACAGATGAAACGCACTGCTCTGTAATAATAAAATATACCAGCCTCGCTTAAAATGTGAACGCGTCTTTGCAAACTGTAAAAATATCATTTTTATCATGGTCAGTTCCGCCTCTGCAGCGTCCCTCTGGTTCAACTCTGCTATAGGCGCAGATGACCGATTACAGTATGCAAATCAGTCAAACAACGTTGATGCCCTACTCATCCCACACTCATAAATATGAAAGCATAGGAGCCCAGAGAGGAGATAACCACAATCACGCGCTGAGCTAAATACCCCCAGCACCACCTCACAAGGCTGTAAATAACCCAAACTGTAAATAACCCAAATAAGCTTAGTTTGTAATAAATATTGATCATGTTCAACATATGACTAGGTAACCCGAAGAACCGATTAAGTGAGGGTTCACATTTTTCTTCACGAATCCGTAGTTCCAGTGCTGCTTGCCGTTGATTTCATTTCAGTGAGTTTAGGTGCCGAGGGTTCGGTTTATACAGGGGAACATGAATTTGAGAGGGAACTGAATCAGATATAACACCGGTAAATGCCATGAACAGCTTGCAGAACGTAAGGGTTTAGGGCCACTGCAGCAAACCCTGGCTGACCGGTGATGCAGTCTGCGACCTTGATGTCAAACTGAATGAAACTTAGACAGAGTTCAAAGAAAGCCACTTTATTCATTCGGGATTCAGGGCATCTAAGAAATCAGGACTCTGGTCATATCGAATACGGACCTGCTGAATAGATCATTAGAAGCAAACCTGAAAATCACTGCAGTGCCCCTCCCAGCATGCCCCTCGAATCGTGCTGGGGTCGAGTTCACTGAAAACAGTGGGGTGTAGTTACTCTTTAAGCAGAGCGGGTGAGATCAGAGATTCTGTAATTGAGTTTGGTCATTTGCGCAGATGTTGCCTCTGATGTTGCGCTGCTCTTTGCGTAATGCTGTGAGATTTTTTATAAGACAGTTGTTTCATCTAAGATCCAACTTTTATCCTTTATCACTGATGTCTGAGTCACGCATCACCCTCAGGAATGAAGGATGCAGCGTTCGCTGCGAAATCAGCGGCGGTACATTTCTCGAATCGCGTTTGTGTATTTGAGTTGACGTTCGCTGGTAAATATGGGTTTCTTTCATGTCTTTAGGCGAAAATGATGTGGACGTATGTGGGCCGTTCATTTCTTGCGTCATCGGTATCATCACTATGATCTCCATGTTATGAAATGCCTTAATTCCTGTCTTAACATGTCATGCCCACAGTCTCGCCCACTACCAGCCTCCTTACCTTGCACACCACTGACAGTGGGCGAAGAGTCTTCATGAGATGGTCTGAAAACATCAGTCCTCATGAATCTCTGTGGTGAGTTGTGAAAGCCTTACCTTTCATTTTTATGGCACTATTTGTTTTTTTTTTTTAATTTCATGCTTCATTTAGCAATCAAGATTAGATTGTCACTCTCATAAGAAACAGGTTGTATATTGTGCTGTCAGTGTCAAAAAAATTGACACTGTCCAAAAAAAAAGGTTTTGATTTTTCTACATCATTTGAACACAGGAGAGCTTCTTCCCTTGGAATAACATCTTTTTGCATTAAGATTCTTTATTAAGAATTATTATTTTTTATTATTCTTTATTAATCTTCTTTATTTAAGATTTTAATTTTGTTTTTTCTTTTTCCTGTTCCATTTTAGAGGTACATACTGTCACTTGGACATCACTCATATTTTACACCACTTGAAAATGCTATTACATTGTGTGAACATGACACCTGTGCCAGTTGAAATTTCAAAAAGCTTTATTTTTTTAAGTTATATTAACACAAATTGAGAATGTTTTATCCTTTTTCTAGAAAGTCAACATTTTGGAGATTTAAAAAATATTACTTGACTTTATACTTAAGATGTAAATCTAATGTCATACATGCATTACTGATCAAAGGTTTGGAATCACTGTTCAAATATCTGACATGAATATGTTCAACAACATAAAACTAAAAAAAAATTTATTTTATTTAAATTTATAGAATTAGTTCAGTATGTAGCCCTGTACAGTTTCAGAGCTTTTAAATAATTTGTAGGAATCTCTAAAATAAATTAAGAAATGTTCGATGTGTCCAGCATAATGAGTTATAATAAAATTAACATCCAGAATCCATCATATTTGAAAAGTGGTGCTGAAATGTTGATAAAAAAATATTGAAAATACATAATTACTACATCTAATAGCTCACAATTCTTTAAATAAAACGAGACACATTTTGGTGCCTGGTTAATAAGATTTAGATTAGGGCTGTATTGTATGGACATAAAATACAATTTTTGATAAAGCTCTTTGATGTCATATCCATAAATTATTATTAAAATAGCGAGCTGGTGACTGGATGTCCTACAAATACAGACTTTGTTTTTCGGGCTGTGTAAAAAGAAATCTGAATAACCTCACTTATAAGCAAATAGCAAACTTATAAAGCTTCAAAAGCTGTTTGCCTAGTAATAGTGCCCTCTTGTGGAGAATTGTAGACTGTGAAAGCTAAGTACCATGAGCTGCATGAGGATCCCCTGACTTTTTTATTTGCGTTGGCCGTCAGGCTACAAACACAAATGACTGTATAACATTTTACTCTCAGAATAAGGCAGTAAATACATAACCGGTTCATTAAAAAGCTCCTTATGATGATGCAGATTTGTTGTGACGGTACCGGTCACTGCTTTATACATTTCACACACAGCACTGAGAGCGAGAATGGTCATCATATTCTTAGGAACTTTTACAGGCTGTTTGTTCAGGATAGAGGAGATTGAGTTGTGCATGTGGGTGTATGGTCACAACCCATTTAGCCAAATTAATCATGTTTAGTGATCATGTTTAGAGTTGTGCTTGAAGCAACTTGATCCGTTTTATCATCGCAACTCTTAACAATGTATTCATTAAGGAAAGTCTGTGCGATAATGATAAAAAAATATGATTAATTAACCCTTGTGTGGTGTTGATGTTGTTACTCAGTGGTCTGGTGGAACCACTGCATTATTTAAATCAATACAGCCATAACAATTTATGTAAAAATACCAGATGTTTAAAATATCACAAGTGTCCAGCGTAGGGTTCTCCTTTAGCAGCTGTAGCCAGTCAGCAGCCTGTCCATGTTGTCCACCCTCACACACACACACACACACACACACACACAGACACACACACACAGTAACAGCAGGCCATGTAGGAGGAGAACAGAGTGAAGGACACAGCACCTCCACACTTTTACTCCCCACAGCTTCACCCAACACCATGTGTAATATAAATGTGTGGGGGTGAACAGAGTGAAGACACTGAAAATGGGTTGTTTTATATGTTCTTCACAGAAAATGAGCAAAGAACACGGAACCTGGGGTTAAAATAATAATAAATCGCATCATTTTTTCTTTTGGTAAACATTGAAAATGGGCCCACAGACCCGAACACCACACAAGGGTTAAATAAGTAAATTATCTAAGCACATTGTATAAATTATTACTATAGTAATAATACAGACTGATGTTTTTTCCGCACAGATGATCTAATGGCAGACCAAAGAATGGACATTTCCTCCACAATGAATGAGTTCATGTCGCCCAGCTCCACTGACCTCATCAGCAGCTCCATCGGCACGCCCGGGATGGACTACACCCGCAAGAGAAAGGGCAGCTCCACTGACTACCAGTAAGCCGAATTCTGGAGGACCAGCCTCCATCTGCCATTCATGTGTCTTGTGCTCCTTCTAGAGTCATTTCACCCTTCTGTGATCTTTGAGAACAGGCCACACCCACCTGAGAGTAGTTTTAGTTTTGTTTAAAGTCTTATATAGAACGATTGATCAACAGAGTAGCTTATTACTGCAGGTAGCAGCTCCCTGTGTAGCTCATATTGGCCAAAATTTGGAAATGAACTGAAGTTTGTCGTTTTTCTTGCTTTTTCAGAATTGATGGATTTTCATTTGAGTAAGTATTAAAGCAACTTAATTTAAGCAGACAGAAATGTCGAACAGTGAGATGCATTTTATAAACTTCACCAAGTTAGAGAGAAATTATTATGCCCGAGGCTTCGCAGCTATAAGGTCATAACAACACGTGCAAGTTGAAATTTTAGGTGTTATCATTCTGACATGGGAAAGAGATAAAGTTGGGCATGTGTGCCAACTCAGTGGACTCCTGTATTAATAACTCTTCCTGGACAGCAGAGTAAATCATTCACCAGTATAAGAGGTTTGCTACCACATTTTTACAGATTATTAACAGACATATGATTATCAACATGCAGGACCTTCTAGAGGGCAGTGAGGCCATTTCCAGTGGTGTGAAATAATGTAGAATCATACTGGCTCCTCATACTGTGCAAAAGACCACGTTTCATTTATTTAATTTCCTGTCAAAACCAGTCATTTAGTACAAGTTATTCATTTTTCAGCAGGTATTTCTGAGGAGATCACATATAATATAATCCACCTGCATAAAGGAGGAGAAAGTCAAATCAAAATGAGTGGAAAAAACAGGACTCTTCAAAAGCGGAGCTGATTAAAATAGAGAAAACTATCACACTTTAAAAAATGGTTCTTCAAGGGTTGTATTTAGGACCAAATGTTCTACGTAGAACCATTCCAACCTCTTGAAATCCGTAGAACCACCGGTGGTTCCAAAACGCACTTCGTCATATTCTTTACTTCATAACTTTCGTATTTCATAAGCTTCATTCAAAAGGTGGTATATGAGAGCTGTAACTGTCTTCTTTCCAGTTAAATAGATGGGTGATGTAATTTTAAAACTCTATAATAAAAAAAATCACATTTTTTTTTCGACTGAAATTCGACCTCCCCACAAATCTGAGCTATAAACTGGATCTCAGATGGCGTCTCTTCAGTGATCTGCACTGTAAAAATTATTTTTATAAAAAATACAGAGTGTCTAAGATTTTTTGGCTTTCAGCAGTAAATTGTAAGCATATGACATCATGTTTATGATTGTAAAACACATTTTCTGTTAATTTGATTCTTCACATTTATTTCATGCAGTTACTGAATAATTTGCCTTAAGATTTGGGCATGTAGATTCAGATGGACAAACCAAAATACACCCTGGAGAATAAGAGGTTAAATGTTTCTTTTCATGGTGAAATTGTTCTTCAGATTGGTGGAGAATGTGTTGTATATGGTTCTATATAGCAACAGAACAAGAAGGCTTCTTCTGTTGTTATAAGCATGACATCATAATAGTAAGAGAACCCTTTTTGTTGCTATGTACAACACATTCTCTATCAGTCTGAAGAACCATATCACCATGCAGAGAACCATTTAAGCATGAAATGGTACTCTATAGAACTCATGGTTATAAATAGAATCATTGCCTTTACTAAACAACCATCTTTTTAAGGTGTGTACTTAAATAAGTAATATAGAACTAAAATTTACTATGGCGTTCAACTGTAATGCAAGGTGTCTGTGTGAAACTGAGTACATCACGGTCTTAGAATCTGTTGTTATTGTTGAAATGTCCTGGGATCTCCTCCATGATCCTTTATGAAGAGCAGTTAATCTAAGTAATTACAAGAAATGCCTCCGAGTCTTTTATCTGCATCATAAATAAAGAAAGAGATTAGGAGCCACGCTTTTCACAGAGTCACGTTCCAGAGATCTACAAAACAGTCTCTTTTATCTGTTGTAGTAAGGAAGTATTAGGACTTCCTTCCTCATTCCATTGATTGTGTATCGCTGTTGTCGGAACAAAACCTCGTATCTCCAAAATGGTAACTTTACAGGAGAAGAAAAAAACATACTTTACTTTTTTTACCGAGTCGTTTTGGCCCGTTTCTTTGATCCATTCATCATGAAATTTACACACAATGTGAACAACAGCAGGCATTTTGTTCCGACAGCAGCGATATGCTTGTGCACTATAGCATTCAGATGTTTATGAATATTTTAATTAAAAATTAAGGAATTAAAGATTCATTAAGGTGATTCACTGTGCTGAGTTCACTTTGTTGCTGCCAGGACAAAACCTTGAATCTCGTTTTAATTTTTACCCCGATTTTCTCCCCAATTTAGTCGTCTCCAATTCCACCCCGCTAGTTAGGACTCCCCCAATCACACGATGCTATCAATGCTAGGAGGGTGAAGGCTAACACAGGCTTCCTCCGAGACCTGTGAGGCCAACCACCGTTTCTTTTCGAGCTGCCGCTCACGCAACGTCACTGGACAGCCGAATGCGCTCGGAGGAAAGCGCCAACCGGCAGATCTGTTACGTCAGCTAACAGACGCCTGCGCTGACTAGCATCGCGCTGAGTGATGGGGGGAGATGGGCAGCCATCCCGCCCACCCAGAGAGAGCGAGGCCAATTGTGCTCTCTCGGACTCCCAGCTACGGATGGCTGCAGCATCACCAGGGATCGAACTCGCGATCTCCTGATGACAGGGCCAACGGTTGCGCCACTCGGGAGCCCCTCAATCTCGTTTTTTTTTTTAACCATTTTGCATAATATGAAATCTCCAAGGTGATAAAAGTCAAAAAAGCCCAGAAATACTTAAAAATGTCTTAATCTTAACTTCTATTATAAATTAAGAAGAGGAGCTTTTACTCTCTCCTGTAAAGCTACCATTTTGTGGATACAAGGTTTTGATCCGACAGTCATGATATCACTCTTCACATACTCTAAATAAAGGTTTAAAGGTTTGAAAATGGATTGTCTAGACTAACGTTATCGTTTGATTTGTCAAGGGACAGTATGGACACAGACAAGGACAAACAGCTTGGAAGGTAAACACAACATCCGTATGAAGTCTGTCTAGCTTTGTTTACTGAAATTTACGCTGCACATATTTACTGATGTTTTAATTTTAAACTATAAGCAAAAAATGTGGTTCTTCTGTGATCGTTACTAAATATATATTTTTTCACCTAACAGGGATTGCACTGATCAGCAAGGCCGGATTAAGAATGCAAGGTAGCTTTATTTTCCATATCTTCACTCTTTTAACAGTCATGCAGGATGTAAATGGTTTTGTATTCAATAACTCGTCCACTGCATAGCACAAACACTAAGTGCACACAGTCGCATTTTGACAGAGCCAGAATTGGTCGACATTAATAATAATAATAATAATAATAATAATAATTTTATTTATATAGCACTTTTCATGCCGGTGGCAGCTCAAAGTGCTTTACAGACAGGTGGTAAAACATAGTTATAGAAAAGATCATTAGTACTTAATTAGAATCAGAAGAAAATGAAGAAGATTAAATAACAAGATAAAAACCACGAGACGTTCAGTTTTAGTTAAATGCTAATTTAAAGAGATACGTTTTTAGGTGCTTCATAAAAGTGAGCTCTGAGCTTGACTGTCTAATAAAAGTTAGAAGCAGAATAACTGAAAGAGTCTCTCCATGTTTTCTTCAAATCTTAGATTGCGTGCCGGAACATAAACAGACAGACACTCTGAGATGTCAGCGGTGCTTTAAGGTTGTTTTGAGCTTTAAAGACTAGTAGCAGAACCTTGAAATCTATCCTGAGTGATACAGGCAGCCAGTGCAGTTCTTTCAAAACGGGACTGATCTGATCTCTCTGTGTTGTTTTTGTTAGGATGCTGCTGCGTTTTGTACGAGTTGTAAGGGATGTGTAGTTTTCTTAGGAAGTCCAGCAAGAAGATCATTACAGTGGTCAAGTCTGCTTGTAACAAACGCATGAACGAGTTTCGCTTCATTTGCGTACTCTTGCTATACTTTTCCAAGAATTTTAGCTGTTTGGACATATTTCAAAGTATGGCCAAAAGTATGTGGACACTCCTCCTAATTAATGATGTGTTTCAGCCACACCCATTGCTAATGTATAAAATCAAGCACATAGCCATGCAGTTTCCATAGACAGACACTGGAAGTAGAATGTATCATGCTGATGAGCTCAGTGACTTTAAATGTGGCACCTTTGCCTCAAGTCAGATCATGAAATTTGAAATAGAGGCATTTGGGAACAACACCAGCTGAGCCACAAAGCAGAAGACCATGCAAACTCACAAAGTGGGACCACCGATTGCTGAACCTCACTACAGAGTTCCAAACTGCCTCTGGAAGCAACATCAGCATAAGAACTGTGCGTCGGGAGCTTCATGAACTGGGTTTTCAAGGCTGAGCTGCTGCACACAAGCCTAGATTCACTGCGCAGTGCCAAGCATCGGCTGGAGCGGTGTAAAGCAGTGGATGCCAGGTAAAAGCTCCCTACCCGAAAGTATAGCGCCAACAGTACGGTTTGATGGAGGAAGATGGTCTGGGGCTGTTTTTCATGGTTTGGGCTCAGCCCCTTAGTTCCAGTGAAGGGTAATGCTAACGCTACAGCATACAAGGACATTTTAGACAACTTAATGCCTCCAAATCATACGTTGTTTGACGAGATTGATGTGGAGAAACTCTAGTGGCCTCACAGATCCCTGACCTCAACCCCACTGAACACCCTTGGGATGAACTGGAACATTGATTGCAAGCAAGGCCTGCTTGTCCAGCATCAGTGCCTGACCTCCCAAGTGCTCTTTTGATTGAATAGGCACAAAATTCCCACAGACACACTTCAAAATCTTGTGGAAAGCCTTTTCAGAAGAGTGGAGGCTGTTACAGCTACAAAGAGGGACCAGCTCCATGTTAATGCTTGATGGTTAATGGTTTTGGAATAAGATGTCTAACAATTTGCATCGGTGTGGTCAGGTGTCCACATACTGTTGACTGTATAGTGTATTTGAAGCTCTGCGTTTCCTGTATGGGTATTCATTTATCCTGGAGCTTCAAGTAAAGAGGAGTTTCCAAAAGTGGCTTATACCAGGGGTGCACAACTCTGGTCCTGGAGGGCCAGTGTCCAGCACAGTTTGGAGGTTTCCCTACTCAAACACACCCACTTAACCTGGCAGTTAACAAAGTGTAATCAGGTATGTTGAAACAGGTAAATCGCCAAACTGTGCTGGACACCGGCCCTCCAGGACCAGAGTTGTGCACCCCCTGGCTTGTACTGACTATAAACTGGCCAATAAAAAGTGTCCAGAATGGGCTGTGGAGAAGTTGGAACCCAAATCACAAATTCTTGATCAGTGTACTGCTAATAATTGCCTTATTCAGTTTTTAACCGAGGGACTCTAAAGTTGAGTGAAAGATAGTTTAGAGCTTTGCTATGTTGTTCTTATGAGTCTTGTCTTTGGGTTCTACACAGGGAGGCTCACAGTCAGATCGAGAAGAGGCGCAGAGACAAAATGAACAGCTTCATTGACGAGTTGGCCTCTCTAGTGCCTACCTGCAACGCCATGTCCCGCAAACTGGACAAGCTCACCGTGCTGCGCATGGCCGTCCAGCACATGAAAACATTACGAGGTGAGGACGATGCTTCACTGCTTGTTAGGGAAGCACAATATGGACAGAATACCCTATTACTATTATATGGCTTAGACATGTTCTGGTATTGGGTAACTTGGTGTCCTGCAGTATTAAACACACACTGTAGTGTAATCCTGGACACTTTGGACACCATTACTGCAGTTTAGTCAAACAAGTTTGTGCAGAGATTTATTTTAGAGACACAGAGCAGTTCTGTTTTCTCAAACTCCTACTGCGCTGTCGCATACTGGTCATGTGATACGGTCCCTCCTCTGTGTGGAGCTTGTAAACAATCATCATCACCATCATCATCATCATCACTTTTATTTACATTGTGCCTTTCCCATGCTGAACGGGGTTTCAATCAAAGAACATATTAAACAGGAGATACTTAATTACTTCAAGTGCAAAAGGAACACTAGCCACGTTTACATGCAGCCTAATAATCTGTTCATAATCCAACTAATAGCTCAATCGGAATAGGATACGCCCATGTATACACTTCAGTCGGAATAGTCTAGTCCGATTGAGGCCATTCGGAGTCCATTTTCTATCCGATTGAACGAGGTGGGTAATCCTGTAAATAATCCGTTAAATAGAAGAATAATATCCATGTAAACGCCTGTATCTGATTACATTCCCTATCGGAAAGTTTAAGTCCGTTCTGATCATGTTCGTCGCGTCATAGTGAAAGTTTACACCGTTCAACATGGCGGAGCAGAAACTGGTCTGCAGAGGAGTCGAAGTTTATGCTCTGATCTTTAAAAGACGGCGGTGGGACGGACGTCCAGCTTATGTGTCTCAGAACACGACGTCTTCCTCTCGGCCTTCTTTAATAAGGACGTGTGAAGGACGTTTTCCTGAGTCTGACATCATTTTAAAGTAATTAAAAACACAAGCGTGCCAACTAAAAACTCATCTCACTCGGACCGGACCTCACGTGATGTTCGCTGTCATGGTAACGTTTACTCTAAGTGGTACTCAACGCATGGGCGTCGTTTTAGATCAGATTACTTGTAGTTGAATAGAGTGAGCATAAACACCTCAGTCTTAATCTGTAATCGGAACGTATTTAATCGGATTGGCAAAAGTCTTTGCATGTAAACACAGACACTGATAAGATAGTGAAAACGAGTATGAAGATGGATAGGAGGCTTCCTAAATAGACTTGGGGAGAGTATTCCATAATTTTGGAGCTACTACACTAAATGACCGACCACACATAGAGGTCACTTTAAACCTTAGATCATGGAGTGTTTCTATATCTGTTAGGCTGAGAGATGCTGGCGGTGAGCAATATAATGCCTGAACTTTAGAATTGATAATAATGTCAAAGGACAGTGTGGGGTCAGCAGTAACTCCGAGATTGCAGACGTAAGTCAGTGTTGATGCCAAGGACAGATGAACTAGATGTCAGTGCTTCAGAGCCGATTAAAACAATCACAACAGCCACAGCACGGCAGAAGGAGGAGCAGACCGAGAACTGTTTCTCCCACAAAAAGTGAAGACTCGCATCCCTTCGGCTTGGAGATGGAATCTCACAAATACATGTATGTTTGCAGAGACAAACTTCATTTGGATGAAGTAAAAGGCACAAAAGAATATCGAACCTAACCTTTCGTTTTGTTTAACAAGCAGCTCTGCTGGCTGCTAATGGGCTAACATATAATATTCAGAGTCAAGCTGAAATATTTATTAAATCAGTCACGGTAAAAATAGAACATTCAAAGCTGTTACAAGCTTCATTTATCAGAAGTCTTGGTGTGGACTTGAGCCATGCAGTATTGAACGCAATGTGGAAAAAACTCATCACTGTTAGCTGTTAACTGCTGTGTCTGATCCACTCGTACCAGCACAACACACACTAACACACCACCACCACATCAGTGTTACTGCAGTGCTGAGAATGACCCACCACCCAAATAGTACCTGCTCTGTGAGGGTCCATGGGGGTCCTGACCACTGAAGAACAGGGTAAAAGGGGGCTAACAAAGTATCAGAGAAACAGATGGACTACAGTCTGTAACTGTAGAACTACAAAGTGCACCTATATAGTAAGTGGAGCTGATAAAATGGACAATGAGTGTAGAAACAAGGAGGTGGTCAGAATGTTCAGCCTGATCTGTGTTTTTTATTGTATACATGCACCTAAAAACATGACATGCAGAATATATTTTTTTTATATACATATCTTTAAAAGAAAAGTAATCTGTAGTAATTAGCTTGTTTCATTCTTCTGTAACATCAAAAGCAAATCTCATGAGTAACTTTAATAATCAGTGTGTTGTGCAGCTCGACTATCTGTTTGACCTGCAGTCGGTCTAATCCACAGAATGCTTTAGCCGAGTTAGGATGATATTACGTTGTTATCCATTATGTACTATCACTCTTCATTACCATGCTTTATCTATAAGGTGCTGCAAACCCCTACACTGAAGCTAACTACAAACCAGCCTTTCTGTCAGACGATGAACTGAAGCACTTAATACTGAGGGTATGTGGGACTAAGGAACACAACTATAAGCTCTACTTGCTGACTAACCTTATGTTTTTGGTTTTTGATTTGATGCTGTATCTGATCCACAGGCTGCTGATGGTTTTCTCTTTGTGGTCGGCTGCGATCGGGGAAAGATTCTGTTCGTTTCAGAGTCGGTGTACAAAATTCTTAACTACAGTCAAGTAGGTCCAACTGTCTTGGCTTTGTGTGATTCATATGTTTTAGGCCCCGTTACACTTGATATTAACATCCGTCTCAAGTGGTCTGATCGTAAGTGGACAACGAGATGTAGCCGGTTACTTGTGTCTCAGATGCGTCTTCAGTGGTCACATATGATCAGTGGTGGACAGTACTGAAGTCAGTGTAATTAGTTACTGTACTTAAGTAGTTTTTTTGTGTATCTGTACTTTACTGAAGTATTTCATTTTGAGCGACTTTTTTCTTTTCCACTACATTTCAAAGTCTAATATCTCACTTTTTACTCCGCTACATTATGAGAAATCTGTCGTTCCTTTTGGTTTATGTGTGTATAAAAACATAACATGTCAAAACAAAAGAAGCGTGAAGCGAGAACACCAATCAGGCACAGCACACACTTTGTTTTGAGCTTGTTTTGACCTGTTGGACTTACCTACCCAGTGCAGCACACGGTTCAATGATAGAACTAACCTAACTTTGTAAATAGACCACAATATAGAAATATGTACAGATATTCAGTTGTGGCTTTCGTGTGTCTTTTTTCTGAATTTACACAAACACTATTTCATTTTATAGTAAATTTGTTTTTGCTAGTTTATGTTTATGAACTGAGACCTACAGATGCAGTTTAGTAAAGGAAACTCATTTGTGAATCTGAGTTTACAGTTTTTATTAAATTTAAACTTGTAACTAAGTTGCAAATAAATCTTAAACCGAAACTTTGCTTGTTTGCAAAAAGTTATTTCAGAGCCACTCAGTTCTACCTGATGGAAACTGTTTGTCATCAGTGTTTTGTGCTTATGATAATTTTAATAGACATCAGCGTCACTAATTAAAGGCAATCTATTAAAAGACTGGTTTACCAAGAGAGACACTGGAGTATTTTCACCTAAAATGAGTTAACGAAGCAAGTCTTGTTATAAAAATGATAATAGGACATCAGAGCCATAATTAATCTTTTAGTACTTTCACTTTTGATACTTAAGTACATTTGAAGGCAAATACTTTTGTACTTTTACTCAAGTGGAGGTCTAAAGCGAGGAACTTCTACTTTTACTGGAGTAATATTTTACCTTGGGTATCTGTACTTTAACTCAAGTACATGGTTTGTGTACTTCGTCCACCACTGCATATGATCTGATTTTGTGGACCACCCACATTTAATACGCCAGTGTTTTGCTGCATTTGTTGTTAGATAAAAATGTCCATGCAAGTCCTTGTTCGTCTAAATGTGAGGGCAGTCACAGATCGCATGGTTCGGGTGATGAGATCACAACGTGTCTCTGAGATGCATTAAACCCATTTCATACTGGTGCTGTCCACTTACGATCGGATCACAGCTTAATGCCAGGGTCTTATTTTCAAGATTTAAAAGTTAATCATACATGATCAGCAACTTCGCAAACTCTCTGATGTAACCTCTGACATCTCTTGGCAGAACGACCTGATTGGCCAGAGCTTGTTTGATTACTTGCATCCTAAAGACATTGCCAAAGTCAAGGAGCAGCTGTCCTCTTCTGACACAGCGCCAAGGGAGCGACTCATCGATGCCAAAAGTATGTCCCCTTGCATCTTGGATTACTGATCTGTTCTTTAGGCCTCGGGGTGAGGCGAAGCAGGTTATGAGGTCACGATGTACTGTGTCGAGGCATTTAGGTGTAGTATGAAGGTCACAAGCCCAGATGAGCTGAATGAAACGTAATTCTGAGAAAGGTCTGGTTGTATAACATGAACTTTAATACATGCTGCTCATCAAAACGTACTAAACACTCTGCCTTCGTTTGAGAATTTGGAATTTTAGTTTCATTCATTGAAATACAGTGTTATGCCAAAATCAGAGCACTATTGATTTCATTCCCAGTCAACATAGTCATTAAGTACAAGTTATTATATTTCAAAAAATTACTAAAATATATAGAGAAAATGGAATTCTTGACAACCATGCAAAACCTGGTAGACCTCCAAAACTGTGACCATCAGAACTTACTGCTTTCATCTTTGAGAGAGAGGAGAAAATCAAGCTGCTTCAGATCTGAAAACATCCACAGGTGTTTCTGTCCATCCTTCCACTGTGAGAAGACGACTCAGCGCTGTGGGTCTGAAAGGATGTGTAGCTGTCAAGAAGAACCTCACTGAGAAAAGGAAATAGACACTAAAGAAGAAGACTAAAATAAAAGAAAGAAGCTGCTGATGTTCTTTAGAACAATGAACTGACTACCCCAGAGTCCAGACCTATGGAGTTACTTTTGTGCCAGAAGTTTCAACTAAAATCCACAAACAAAATACTAAGTATCAAAAGGTCCGAAATATATTTCAAATACAAATATCCATCCATCCATCCATCATCTAAACCGCTTATCCTTCTGGGTCGCGGTGGGATGCTGGAGCCTATCCCAGCTGTCATTGGGCGGAAGGCAGGATACACCCTGGACAGGTCGCCAGTCCATCGCAGGGCAGACAGACAGACATACACATTCACACACACAATCACACCTAGGGGCAATTTAGCCTGTCCAATTGGCCTGACTGCATGTTTTTGGACTGTGGGAGGAAACCGGAGTACCCGGAGGAAACCCACGCAGACACGGGGAGAACATGCAAACTCCACACCGAAATGACCCTGGTCATCCGGCCGGGAATTGAACCCAGGCCATTCTTGCTGTGAGGCGACAGCACTACCTACTGCGCCACCGTGCCGCCCAAATACAAATAATCAGAGTTAAATCAAACTTAACCTTTCAAAAAGATTACTACTCATTTTCACCCGTTCTGATATAAATGTGTTACTTATATGTTGCCAGTTTTTGCTTTAATTTGTTTCTATTTCATGATGTCACTGATAAATTCTTTGCTTCTGAAATTTTTCTTTTGCTTCTGACTTTTGGCACTTTTTAACGGAGGTCATGTCTTAGAAGAGGGCGTTCTCCTGCACTCTCTGTTGGGACTGATTTGGAGTGGCAGGTTTTTGGACATATAGCCACTCAGAATGAACTGCCCCCAGCATGGCGGAACGCGCTGTATGGAGTGCTGCTCTGAGAGCAGCGTTTCACTGGCATATCCTACATTATGAGCAATGTTTATCAGGCCTTTTAAATTATGGGTCTGAAAGGATGTGTAGCTGTCAAGAAGACGTTACTAAGAAAAGAGAATAGACACAAAAGAAGAAAGAAAATTTGTAAATCAGACAAAGAAGCTGCTGATGTTCTTAGAACAATAGACTGACCACCATAGAGTCCAAGCCTCAACCTCATTGAATGTGTTTTGGATTACTTGCATTGTGAGAAACAGGAAATGCAACCAACTTCTAAGACTGAACTTTGGAGGTATGGAAAACATATCCCTGCAGATTCCTTGGAAAAACTGAAAGCGAGTCTCCTGAAAAGAATGGAAGCTGTTATAAAGGCACAGAGTGACACACTGATACTGAAAATGATCATTTTAAGTCAGTCAGGCTTCTGTATCATTTTCTGTTAAGTATACACTTAAACTTAAAATGACTTTGGACTGGAAATTAAATCAATGAAGGGTGGTCTCTGGTTTCTGCACAGTACTGTGAAAGGTGCTAAAGTTCAGTTAACACGAGACACCTGTTCACTAATACTTTGCAACACTTAACTTCATCAAAGTGTCTTCATCAAGGTCACCAGAGTAGTACTTTGCCAGCTTTTCCTTCAGTTGAAAAAGTGGCAAATGACAGAAACAGCAAGATCTAAACAGCCGTCTCTGAAAAAGTGTGACTATGCACATGAAAGTCTATGTATCCCCAAACTTTTGATGGGCAGTTTATAGCATCGTAGTATACATTTAAAGTGTGTCTTTTGCTCATGTGGGATAGCATGCGCTTTGTTTTAAGTTGCATTCTGGGGCTGTGTAAAGGTTTGGGGTGGTGTTTGGATGATGGGTGTCTGTTCTGTCGCTCTTTCAGCTGGGTTGCCCGTAAAGACGGACATCACCCCAGGGCCGTCGAGGCTGTGCTCCGGGGCCAGACGCTCATTCTTCTGCAGAATGAAATGCAACAGGCCCCTTGTCAAGATGGAGGACAAGGACTTCCCCTCCACCTGCTCCAAAAAGAAAGGCAAAAGCTTATTTTTGATTGATGGATTTTTAAACTACTGCATGTCCTGAATAACTAGTGCAAAAATCAAACAACATTCACTGTTCACTTTGGAGTCTACTGAAAGAAACGTCACTGAAACATGTTTTTTCCTGTCCTCTACAGCTGACCGCAAAAGTTTCTGCACCATTCACAGCACGGGCTACCTGAAGAGCTGGCCGCCCACCAAGATGGGCCTGGACGAGGACAGCGAGCCAGATAACGAAGGCTGCAACCTCAGCTGCCTGGTGGCCATCGGCCGCCTGCACCCTCATATAGTGCCCCAGCCCATGAACGGGGACATCCGCGTCAAGCCCACCGAATATGTCTCACGGCATGCAATCGACGGCAAGTTTGTCTTTGTGGACCAGAGGTGAGCAGGACAGACGGCACTTTACAGTTTGAAACGATAGTTGAGAAATGTCAAATGAGTGTTATTGCTTGTAAAATCACCATATGTCATTAGAATAGATGCAAATAAGCACAAATACAGTAAAAGTAACTGGAAGAATTACAGTAAGAATTTTGTATTTTCAAAAAAGTTGTTATCTTGTGAGCTAGTTTGAAGAACACATTTGGGTCCAGTCCCATTTCACCCCTCGCCCCTACCACTTAGCCCTTAGCCCTCTGTTTTGCGCGTTCACGTCTAGGGTTGAGATAGAGGGGTAGGGCGAAGTGTTAGGGCTACATGGTCCTCCAAACGGAGATTTTTCATAGACTCACTCCAAACGGAGTAATATAAAAAGAAAAACCTGCAGGATGGCTGAGCGAGCGACCGAAGAAACCCACAAATGTGAGAATTTTCTCTGTTAAAAAATTACAATAACCACTGTATTATCTTAGTTTAATGTCGTTTCAATGTATTATGGTCGTTTTCTTCATAACAAGCATAAAAAATCTCGAATAGTATTCTAATGTCTCAGTAGCTAGCTAGCTAACTGTCCCGTTCCACCTTAAATAGTCCAGCAGTTCTGACACCTGAAGCGCCAGAATGTAACTGCTGCACCATTTAAGGTGGAACGGGAAAATTCGAACAAGGAGCTGGGGAATAGCTGACTTCAGCTTCATATCACTGAAGAATTAGGGGTGGGTGATAATAAATAATTGCCCCCCTCTTTGAAGGCATATGATGCCCTAAATGTAACTAAAGCCCAGCAGTGAGGAGCTGAACTTTTCCCTCCTCTGCTATCGCTGCAGACTGGCAGGGTCGCCTACAGAGCAGCGCTAGTAGCTGTTAATGAAGTAATGCTCTTTTTATCTGAGGGTCCCATTTCATAGGGCAAGATTTCAACCACTACCTCTTGTAACTCAGTTCCAAGGGGTTAGGGTGACACTTGAAAACAAGGGGTAGGGGTAAAAAGAAGAAATGGGATTGGGCCTTGGTTCCAGATTTCTCCTGACTGTCACCAGCCATCATATGGATTTATGAAATTCCAGTACCAGCACACTTGATCTAATTTAATCAAGGTTTGATTAGGCAAACCAGGTAATGGATGACAAATAATACTGTGCTTCCTCTAAGAGAGGCTTGGAAAGGGTTAAACGAACACAGTGACATAAATGACGTAAAACCATTACTTTTTGTATCAGTGCTATTTGTAGTTATTCTAATATCAGTGTTTTTCTGAGCAAATAAATCCTCACTGTCCAGATAAATAGCCTTTAAATTCTAACTTTCCCAGGTTCTTAAAGCTTTTTCATTTTTTCAGTACTGTAGTTTGACCAGTCAAGAAGCGTTTGGTGTCTGAAGTTTGAATTGTTTAGTATTGTGCTGAGCTAATGTAGCTAACAGTGGACAAAAGTACAATGCATAGTTACATCAAATTAGTTACAGCTCTCTAGAAGACCGTAATTTGACCACATGTCCGTTCTTTTAAGATAACAGTTTGTCATACAGCGTCACATAAGTCTGTTTGAGATCAGTTAACGACTCGTGGTTTGAAGCAGGTGTCTGATGATTTAGGCTTGCAGTTAGCACAATGCTAATTTGTGTACATGAGTACACTTGTTAGCTGTATTAGCCTCAAAGTGACAGAGCAAAACCAAAAAAGCAAACTTCAGACACCACCACTAAGTGGAAAGTTGATTTTTGGCCTTACCATAAAGCCCCAAGTAAGATTTAAATTTTCCCACCAGTAAAAATAAGACAGTGAACTAAATGTCCTGAAATGGACAAAACCCCTAATTAAAAAGTAGATTTGGTACAGTAACAGTAACCTATAATGCACGAACAATGCCTAAGAATTAGAGCATGCGACAGTCTGGCACAATTTTTGTGGGTTTTAATACGCACTGTCTCCAGACTCAGACAATTTTCTAAATATTTTCTGCTTATTATCGTACTGGAAAAATGTAGGAATGGTATGGGGGAAAAATACTCTAAGGCTGTAGCTGATTGGGTCAAACTCACAACCTCCACCACTCAAGCCGTCACTGTAGAGATACACTGTTTTGAATTGGAGTCGTGGTCTCGTGACATGCTGACCTTATGACCAGACTTTGGTGTGGGCTGGTATCTATGCCACAGAGCAGGCATGGGGTGACTGGTGAGCCTGGTCTGCTCTCGTGGCCAAAGCTACATTTAGCATGACGGCCTGGGTGTTTTAAAGCACAGTGCTGGTCAATACCCAAATTTAGCCCCAGCAAAATGTCCCAGCAGGAGGAAAAGTGGCGTCCCAAAGAGGCCCTGAAATGTAGGGCAGCCACTTTGTCTAAAAATACCTCACTGCACCGCTCTCAGACAATAGCGCGAGGATTTTGTGTGTCAGTAGAGCATTTGGACGTTTTACAGACGCCTGGCTAATTTATGTGGCTGGAGTTTTGAGGCATTATTTATTTAATGCAGGGGTGAGCGATATATCAATGTCACATTCATCATTCACAGATTAATCCTTTTATTTTTAGAATCCAGTATTAGATTTACTGGCAATGATTACAGCGGATAATTTAGTGCTGATGCCGATGTGGTCAGGAGTGGTGGCCATTTCCATGTTTTTCAGCTCACAACTTGCAAGTGATTAGCATAATAGCTAACACCACCGCTCTACACACTGAAGATCAGTGTTCAGTTCTGCTCAGGCAGGAAAGCCTCTGCTATTCTGATAAGAGTTCATGAGCAGGACTCCTAACATTATATTGACCTGTCAAAACCTCATCTCCATTTTTGTCATTTTTCAGTTTTTTACATAATGTGAAAATACCTCTTGTCCTTTACATTGTGTGTACGTTTCATGATGAATGGACCAAAAGAAACAGGCCAAAATGACTTTTTTGTGGCCCAGATCCAATTAACTGCCCAAATCTGAATTTGTTGTTCAGTCTTTTTAATGTGACCTGTATCTGACATCAGTCTGAACAGATCATGCTCCTAAGCTCACCTGCAAAAGAAGACCCACGCTCAACCAACCAGCACCTTTAATTTGAAAAGTCCAGTTACCCTTTGCGTTGTGTGAAAATTTCATGATGAACTGACCAGTAGAAATGGTCTAAAATGACTTTAACTGGTCCAAAATTATATTAACTTCCATTTAAGGGTAAGAAGGTTTTTTTTCTTCTCCTGTAAAGTTAACAGATACGAGGATTAGTATCCAGGCGCTTTGATGACGTTGCTGTAAAAGGTCCATTCTCTTGCATGAAATTACGATCTGACCATTCAGACAGAGGTCACATTGATGCATATCAGATATGTATCAGACACCAAATCTGTCATCTGTATGAAGAAAAGGATCAGAACTGGGCCACGTCTCCCTGAAAGTGTGATTGTAGCCCAAGACAGCATAACTGGTCTCACTCTCACTGGGTGGGTAGGATGGTCCTCTCTCTCCCACCCATGACTGAGCGCAGTGCTAGCCAACGTGGGCGTCTTTTAGCTGATGTAAAAGAATTGACAGTGTTCTCCTCCAAGCGTGTTGAACTGCCCAGTGACCTGGCGTCAGCAGTAGTTCGGAAAGTTGTGTTGGCGTTAGTGTGACTTGCCACATCAAGGCACCCCTTATTTTGCAGTATGTCTCCCAGTCATTACCATGAACTCTTCTCATTTCAGGGCTACTGCCATCCTCGCTTATTTACCCCAGGAACTACTGGGCACGTCTTTCTATGAATATTTCCACCAGGACGACATCGGACACCTCGCTGAATGCCACAGACAAGGTAACTATGGGAGAAATAAACAGCTATGAAAAATCTCTGAAACAAAGCTGTGATTTGATTGTCATATTATGAGATAAACCACATTATATTAACAGTACAGTGAGCAGGATTGCTGTAACTTATGGCTGTGATCTCTTCACAGTGCTGCAGATGCGAGAGAAGATTAACACTAACTGTTACAAGTTTAAGATCAAAGATGGCTCCTTTATCACTCTGAGAAGTCGCTGGTTCAGTTTCATGAACCCCTGGACCAAAGAGGTCGAGTACATCGTGTCCACAAACACAGTCGTCTCGTAAGTAAACGACTCCTCTGACATGGTGCATTACGTAGGCCGCATCATAAAATACATCATAAATGAACATTTACATCCAGTTTTCAAGTCTACATGTCTGACTTTTTCCATTTGTTTTGGTTGCCAAGAAATGACAAAAATGTCATTTTCAATTAAAATCCTAATACAACATTTCTTCTGCTTACAAACACAAACAATATGGACTGAACGTTTAGAATATATATATGTGTGTGTGTGTGTGTGTGTGTGTGTGTGTGTGTATGCATTCACAGTAAATGAAATAATGAGTGTGTTTACATGCACTTAATAATCCGATAACTGCAGAAAATCAGATTTTGTTAGTAATCCGATCAACATGTTTACATGCTCTTGAATAATCAGATAATGGGGAAACTCCAGGTTTACAGACAGTCAGACAGTAATCAGATTTCTGCTTTGCAACCGGCCAATAAACTCACAGAAGAAGACGTGACGTAAACATAATGTAAAACTTATTTTATTATTATTTTTTTTTTTTACATCGCGCGAATCCACTTACAAATACTCTCCAAAAGTGTTTTACTGCGTCTCGCGACATCCACCGTCTGCTCTCGCGTACGACTGTGACGCAGACTGAGAAATCGGAAAGAAATCAGAGTAAGAGTTCACATGCACTGAGGAATCTGATTACTGAGCTAAAATCCAGCCTCTTTATCTGATTTCTTAATCGGATTTCTAGATCGGAGTATGGTGTTTACATGACCGTTTGAATAATCGGACAATGGCAGAAATCAGATTATTGAGTGCGTGTAAACACACTCAATGTTAAGCAGAGAAGTTTATCCTTTCTTTTTATATTTCAGTGACTAAAAATAAGTAAATCTAATAGATCAAATTAAAATATAAGTAAATTTAATCAATTAAATTAAATTGACCACACCTTACCCCACCCCATGTTGGTCATGTAGATAGCTATAGTTAGAAGCTTGGTTTGAAACATAGTTAGAAACTCAAAGGGAATTGAGAGATGCAAAGCCAAGACGCAGGCGACACGCAGCTGCAGTGGTCTATGCGTGTGTCCATTGAGTGAGAAATGATTAATATCAGAGTATACCACGCTGTTGTAATCACCAGGGGTAACTATGACGTCTAATAATACGTGTATGCTGGTGTTTTAGGGGCAGTACGCTCGATGGAGCAGACCCCAGTTATCCTCAGCTCGCTGCTTCCCCCCAGAGCATGGACAGTGTTCTCACAGCTGATGGTAAGCAGATGTAATTCCTGTCAGTGCTGCAAAAGTTCTGCCTTTCTGCCTGATGGGAAAATGACTTAACGATGGTCACTTACCGCTGACGACTGCTAGACACTACATAAAAATGGGATGTTGTTAGGGATGAACTGAACTGTGCAGTTCAGTCTAATCCCATTTAGCTGTCTTAGTTGCACTATACTGCATTATTAAATATGTTCCACAATGTTTTATTTAGTTTTAAAAAACATTTTAATGTAAGTTAAATAAAGTTCTTATGATTTTTTGGATTGTTTCTATCCGCTTATGAAATTTTTACACAACAAAAAGGTCAGCAGGCATTTTCAAATGATGTAAATCAATAAAAAAACAAGGTTTTAATCAACCAGCAATGATATACAACACGTTCATTTCTTGCTTTCTGAAAGTAGCTGTACTTGCTGTTTTTCGCTCCGTACTAATTTGCAGGCTCAGGGAAGAGAGCGCTGCAGACGGTTCCTGGCATTCCTGGAGGCACGAGAGCCGGAGCAGGGAAGATAGGACGCATGATCGCAGAGGAGGTGATGGAGATCCAGAGGTGAGCTACTCGCTGATCAGATCAAATGGAAAAACACTCTAAAAAGCCGGCAGTGCACCTTAAACACTTGCAACTGCGTGTAAGGCGGCAGTTTGATTCTGTTGTGTTCTTCAGACGTTTGAAATAAGTTTATGCCAGCTTAAGTTTATACCCTGATCTGGGTCGCACTGACTCTTTCTCCTGATTGGCAGGATAAGAGGCTCGTCGCCCTCCAGCTGTGGCTCCAGCCCGCTCAACATCACCAACAGCACACCCCCTCCAGACACCTCTTCTCCTGGGGGAAAGAAGGTAAGAGCCCTACTCTCTTATATATCCATCACGCGATGTTACAGTTACTGCATTTGTCTTATTTGTCTTCAAACTGTTTTTCAGATTCAGAACGGTGGGACTCCAGACATTCCTTCAGCAGGGATGGTGTCGAGCCAGGACTCCATAGGATACCCTTACTCAAACAACTCCCTTTTAAGTGAGTCTTAAAGACCATTAGATTAAGTTCTGTGCCAGGGTCAGTATTATATAGTCATACCTGCTACAAATGAAGATGTAGACTTCGTTTCCAGTGCAAATGTTACAGGTTACGCCACAGCTGGTAAATCAATGCAAACACAATTAATTTAGTACAGTTCTGTGGCATTTGAGCCGAATGAGCTTTCCAGCATGCACATATATATATCTATATCTATATATATATATATATATATATAGATAGATAGATAGAAATATATATATATATATATATATATATATATATATATATATATATGATTACTGAAAACTACAATTTGTCAGCTTGATAAAACGTACATTTTTTGATAAATTAGTGCAGACATATGTTATTTATTACAGAGAACAGACTTAAATATGCCGTTTTTTCTGCACATTTTAATACGTAATTTTCATTTATTCGCTCAGTTTAACATATTGGAAAGAATAAAACATGAAATATAAAATATGCCATACCTTTTGAACAGGCCACTGCAAATAAACAGTAATTGTGCATTAAAATGTGTTCTCTGTAGAGGATGTGTAACTTATTAAGATTAAGTGACCCTTATTAGTCCCACAACAGGGAAAGATCACCTCCACAATCTAACCCATCTGTGCAGTGAAACACCCACATACACACTAGTGAACACACACACACTAGGGGGCAATGAGCACACTTGCCCAGAGCGATGGGCAGCCCTATCCACGGCGCCTGGGGAGCAGTTGGGGTTAGGTGCCTTGCTCAAGGGCACTTTAGTCACGTACTGTCGGCTCAGGGGATCAAACCGACGACCTTCCTGTCACAAGGCTGGTTCCCTAACCTCCAGCCCACGACTGAACCCTTATTTTCACTTAGAAAATGAACAAAACATATATTGACCAGGGGCATTAAACTGACTGCATTAAAACTAATGCCGCTGTGTGGACACTGTACTGACCCTGGGTGGCTCTCACTGATATGCTTTAAAATGGTGCAATATTACAGCCACCAAAGGAGGGAATACAAATTCAATGTATGACTTACACACTTAACTCAGTAATCAAAAAAGCTTGAGAAGAACCTTTTTTTTATGGTATAAAAACAGTCTGCAGGGTGAATCATGCGCAATATGGATCTCACTGATTGTCAGAATTCACAGATGAGGGTGCTGTGGTAATATGAGAAGGTGGCTAAGAGCGCATTCCACCCGTTTAACTGCATAAAAAAGCCTTTCAAAGATTCCAAAAGGCCTTTATTGGAAATCAGTAAACTAGAAAGTCTTTTTTGCTTAGTTTTTAAGAGATCTGTAAGAATTTCAAATATGCATCATGATGCAAACTGCCAACTACTGTCAATGCATCATATTACATCATACATTTTTAAGTAATCGTGTGTAATAAAACAGTCGTGCACAAGTCGTCGTCACGATACTGAAAAAAGCAAATCACAAACTGATGAGATCCGGCCCACATCAAGCACTGGTTAAGATATGTTTCTGATATGATCATTAATACTAACATTGTGCAGAGATGAAAGAGCACCTGTAGTTATAACCTACTGTGACGTTCCACAGGTGATAATTCCCACATCGGCATCGGCGACATCATGGACGAGCCTGGTTCCAGCAGCCCCAGCAACGACGAAGCTGCCATGGCGGTCATCATGAGCCTTTTAGAGGCCGACGCAGGGCTGGGCGGACCCGTGGACTTCAGTGATCTCCCGTGGCCTCTGTGAGAGGAGCCTGCCGTTCCCCTCCTGCCCGAGACCGGAGTGAGAGGGAAACCAGCGCTCCTTTTCCATCGTGTGTCTGTATCATCAGGGCCAGATTTTCCAGAAGCATCACAGCCTAATGATGGGGAAAGTGTTCTCCTACAAGTGTTATTACTATAGACAAATAATCGTTATGCTGCAGAGCTTTTCGGAAACACGAGCTGAAAACAGCATCTATGCCAACAGCAGAGCCACTACAAGCCTCACAGTGGACGACGTTCTACAACACGAAGCACTTAGCTCCCTTTCTGAGAAGTGAAGAAACTTAGAGTCCAGCAAAACACAAAACATTTTCGTCTTGCAGGTGTTTTCTATATATATATTCATGTAAATCACACTGGAATCATCTCACTTCTCTCTATGTGGCACTTCTGTTCTTTTCCTGTATTTTTGGTGGATTTTACATGCAAAGATCTCTAACATATACATTTTTTTCTCAGAATATATATGGTATTATAAGTGTATTGTATGGGCAGTGACATATTTTTAAAATAAAAAGTTTTCCTTTCTCTTGATAATATTTTTAGGCCTACCGGTCTTTATAAAAAACGAACCAAAAACCTGTGTAGTTCATGAAGAGCTACTCCTTCTGCATGGTGTTTGCATCTCTACCATTAGTGGCATCAGACTTCCGACTCACAGACCTGACTTGTGACTCACTCATGTTTAGCAGGCTGAAAATCGTCCACAAGGGGGCACCATTCACAGTATTTGATGCTTCTTGAGGGGAATTTGATCAGTTTGTCAAAATGTCTGCATAATTTAATCGTTGCGATGTAAACAGAGCCATAAAGAGTACGTTGTTGTAAAATGGTTCAATTTAGAGAAACTTAGCAACTCAAAATTCTTTACAGTGGTGGTGACAGAAACCAGGGGTTGCCATGTCTACATAGCAGTTTCAATTTCAGGTTATTTCGGCCCCGTGTACCACTCCACCATAAACGGGTTTTTAAAAATGTTTTATAGACCAAAAACATAAAGCAAAACTATCAGAAAACTCTCAGGGCAGCACAGGCACAATCATGGAGTTACTTCATGTGAGGGATATTTTAGAGGCAAACATCTGGGGCCGTATTACAGAAGATTCTTAAGTCTGAGATCATATCTGCTTTGTTGTCATGGCAACTTTAGTTAGGACTTAAGTTAGGACAGAAGCCATTACAGAACAGTTCTTAAGTCTATAATCTTATTTCCAGATAAGAAAACAGTATTACAGAAACATCCTAAGTTTCCAAAATATCCTAAATATTTTCTTAACTTTAAGATAAACCCAGAGCGTCTTAACTTCTGCTTTTAATCGTCTGTTTCTATTGTTTTATGCAGTGATAAGCAGCTCAGTACAGTATAAGTAGCATAATGACGCTCAGTTTATCTACACTGAAAACGGTGCTTTGACTCGTGAGCTTACAGAGCCAGACGCTGCAGACTCGATCTCCACCATCCCGTCTGATTACCTTCGTGTGTTAATGTTGATGATGAAATAGTACAGTGATGGTGGTGAATAATGAGGAGACAGAGCTGAACGTGTGTCTGTTTATAGGAGGAATAACGTTAGCGCGCTCGGCTAAACGTTTGGGAAATGGAGACTGAAACTGTGGAGCGGCGACTCTGATAAACAGCAGGGGGCGCTGAAACAACTTTGTTAACTTTCAGTTCATCACGCTTTGGTTTTATTTGACATTGTTTACTTCAGTAACGGTAGCTAACGTTAGCTGTCTGGCTAACTAGGTTAACTTAGTTACGTGTTTACGTTTCAGCTGTGCGCGTATGGTCGGTTGCTAGGCAACAGACAGTTGATTGTCGACTTCAATCGAGTAAGTTAGGAAGATAGGAAAAGATGCTGTAAGATAAGATTCTTAAATTAAGATCAGATTCGCTTCTGTAATACAAATTAGTGAAAAATCTTATCTTGACCCGTCAGATCTTAACTTAAGACAAGAAGATAAGCAGTTTCTGTAATACGGCCCCTGGTTCCCATCACCACCACTGTGAATATTTCTGATCAAACCCCTTTGGTTACATCTTAGCTAATTATGCAGGAATTCTCCGTGACCTATCAGTGACCTGGCGTATTCTTGTTAACTTGAACTAACAATATTTTTGTGAGTCAGTAACAAAAAAAGGGATTATATTCAAAATACTCTGTAGATGATGGCCAGGCTGAACCTGGTTACAGTCACCTGCAGCTCTTATAATCGTATTAAAGAGTCTGGAATGTGAAAGACACAGTTTTGGCCAAATGAACACTGAACATACCCCATATAAGATACTAAAGGCATGATATCAAATTACAAACATTTTTTAGTATTAAAGAGTCTTTCAACATTTGACTATGCACTAAAATTCAACTCATACTTTTTAAAAATCTGTACATAATTTTGGAGTGGCTGCTGAAGCAAACTGAAAAGGCACCGCCTTCACCATCAAAAACACTGTTAGATTAGCTTTTGGTAAAAGTGCTCATAAGTGATTATGTTCATTCTGTGTTACGTTTTAAAACCACACAAGTCCGTGTTTTACAACTTTATTTATACAATGATTCTCAAGCTCTGAATAGAGGGATCCTGACCACATGAGTGTATGTCCTGCCATGGAGAAAACAGAAAGTAACACTGCATTCATTCACCAGGCAAAAAGAACTCCTTTGGCCGTGTGCTGCAAAGGAGCTTTGAGGGGAATTTCTCAAACCGGGATTGTGGGAGAGCTTTCCAAAATAAAATAAAAAAAAATAATAATAAACAATACAAATAAAAATAATTATAACACAGTGGCACCACCCAGGATACATCCCAAACTTATCAAATAAAATAAAATCTTATAATAATAAACCATAGTGATAATATCATGGAAATGGAAAATGAACAATGGTAATAACAATAATAATAGGCCCAATTACAAAATAAGTGAGGTTGCTAATTTCATTTCAAACAGCTAACAAAAAATAAATTTCCTTTGGTCAAGTAAAAAAAGAGAAAACCAGGAGAGCACTGCCCATGCCAGTATCCCGAGTTCCTCATGGGTATTTTTTTTTCCCCCCATTTTTTTTTTCCTTTATTTTCATTGTACAGTAGACTAGATAGTTGAGGCTCTAAGGCTGCGAAGGAGGTGCAGAAGGCAATCTGGTTATGGTGTCACTCTCGCTCCATGCTGCAGCATGCTGTGGAGGGGGAGCGGGGGGGTTGGCGGGAGGAGAGAAGTGAGGGAAGAGTCTGCTTTCAGAGTGCAGGCGAGGCAGCATCAGGGTCAGGCTCGTTGTTGTAGTTGTTGCTGTAGTGATGGCCTGGGGGAGGGTGGTTGGGTAGAATGTCCAGTTCATCCACCTGGGGGCCAGGATGCATGACCACCAGCTGGTCTTGCGGAATGTCCGCTGCCGCTGCCGCGAGGTTGGTGATGGACTTGCTCTTGACGCACTGGAAGTCCACGTGCCGGCTCTTTCCCTCCTCCTTCTCCCAGGACATGCGGATGAAGGGTCTCTGGACGTAGTTGTAGATGACCTCCGGCCTGCCGCCTGGGCGCTTCTTCACTTTCTCTTTGTATGTGGGATAACCTGCAAAACAGATTATTGTTTTTGTATTTAAATATGTGATGGCCAATGTGCGCCAAGCTTATGTTTTTCCCAACAAATATTTTAATATGAACAAATAAAATATTTTGCAGTTTTCTGTTACTAAAAGCTTCTAACGGATATAATCAGATACAGCTACTGCAAAGAAAACAGAACTGGTCTCCACTTACTGTGCCTTTCAGTACAGTGACTAAAGAGTTTACTGTAATTAGGCCATTTCTATTCTATACAGCAAAATATGAAGCTATCTGAGCTTTTCTGATGGTGTCTGCTGAAAAAACAGAATAGCTGGTCGTAGGTACCACTCTGTGTATATATAGGGTGAAAAAGATTCATCCAAGTTTAAAGCGCCATATTTTTTACAACCGTGAGGCGCCTAGGAACCAATCACAATCCAATTGAAAGAGGGGGTCATAGCGTTTCTGACTGTCAGTATGGCAGTGAACCTCCAACAGCTCAGAGCCTTCGTCGTTGGTACCAACAGTTCCAAGAAAAAGGTCACCAGTGTCACCAGATCTCACGCCTGTGACGTAAAGGATTCTGTTTATGTGCCACTCCCAACAACACTGGATGATCTCCGAAATCGCACTGAAAGAGCCGTGAGTTCAGTGACACCCGACATGCTCAATCCAGTATGGGATGAATCTGACTGTGGCGTTGATGTTGTCCGTACAGCTGGAGGAGGTTCATACTGAGCACTTGTACAATGACATAATAAACTTTATGCTCATTTAAACCATTTAAGGTTTACTGCATTGTTCTGTAATGATTTACAAGTGAAATAATCATTTTGAAATCTGATGAATCTTTTTGAATCACCCTGTATTGCCAAAAAATAACATGGCAAACATTTTTGATATTCCATTTTCACTGCATCATGTCCCTTTAAGAATTTTATCTGGACAAGCTAAAACAAGCTCTATACCTGCCCTCAAACACTTGCAGCTGTAAAAGTCATGTTCTGCAGTACAGCTTCAAGAGTGAAATGACCTTTTCAAAAATGCTACGCCATTGATAGAGGAAATGAAAAGCAAGTCTGTCATCTCTCATATCACATTAATTTCTCCAGCACATTGTGGCCGGTAGATGCCACTTTTTGTGGTGAATGTATTTAATTTTAATGAAAACTGTTATATTACATCACAAACAAATATTTCACATCAATTACATAATTTATATTATGGATCAAGAAAGGATGCACAGTTTTTTCGACAGTTTTTTTTCCAACATGTAATTGGCAGTTGGATTATTTTATCATTTTTATTTTAGTCAATCTGTGTTGCAATTTTAAGATGTAAATAAGTCAAGTGCGCTCACACTGTATTTGAATGTTGTAGCACAATTACGAATGACTCTTTGTGCTAAACAGTCAGTTGGAATGATGACTATGAAATGTCTGGCGACAGCTCCTGGCTCTGGTACCCTCAGTGACCAGGCTTACCCAGGACCATAAACCAAAAGTGCTAAAGTGCACTTCCCCCACAAGGTTTACTGCTGTAATATTCTTGGGCCGAGTTCTTATAGCATTCCAAAAAGGTGGTCTGTTTACCTCTTCTTTAACAACAATGCCATGATATAAAGATTTATGTCCAGCATCACATGACAGATCTAGTGGGGTCTCCCCACTACCAGGTACTGAGTTGGTGCTCCTGGCTCAAACTCTGACTGATCTCACTCTGAACTCAATCAGAACCTTTCTTGTCAGAAGAGGAGACAACGCACTGAGAGCATCTAGATCTGGCGCCCTGGTTTTCGTCTACGATGCCCAGAAACAACCAATCAATGACTGATGCTTGTGGCCAAGCCACTCAATCCCAACCCAAGAGCCATCAAATAAATATGTAAAGCTTTTAGCTTTCCTTTCCATTACCAGCATGTGGCAAGTCTTGAGATGCTGCAAACCCTCTAGAATCTAAATTGGTGTAAACTCTAGACAGTTTAGTGTTATGCCACATTTTCATGATGTGTTAAAGTCTTTTTAGTTTTACTTTTTAGTCCCACTGATGTCTCTGTGAATGCTTTTACTGCTTTCTTTTATTGTCATTTATTTCCAATTTCCAATCCAATTTGGTTTGTTGCGGCATTATGGGACATTAAAAACTAATGAGTGTGGAGAATGATTGCAGTCAGCTTAAATAATTGTGAGCTGGTAAAAAACTGGAAACATGCTAGCATATTTGCATGTGTTAGCCCTGAAAAAGGCAAATAAAAATCGACCCAAAAAATGTTTTAAAAATTAAAAAAAAAAAACTTTTAAAAATCCACCACCAATACGGCTAAAAATTCATTCAAAACTGGTGAAAAAAAAATTATGCATCCCAATTGTGTGTCATGTGTATAATTCAGAATAATTTTTTATTCAAAGAGTTTATGAGATGGATAAATTGAAACTTACCTTCAATGCCTAGTCTGATCTTCTTTAGTCCTCGTTCTTTTAAAACTGATTTGGCAACATCTCGGTTTTCAATGTACTTGAAGAAACGGTAGAGTTTTGTACTGTAAATTACTGTAAAATAAGATAGAGCAAGATGTACTTAGCCAACAAAAATAAAAGCAAAAACAGCTTTTATAAACATAAAAAAATACACATAAAAAGATCCTTGTTATTAAAACTAGGTGGTGTAATGTTTGTTTTGTTTATACTATATAAGACACCATATGCCATCATTTATGAATTTGCAAGACGGGGTGTGACAAAGGCTTTATATGTTGATTGATAAATGTCATAAGTCGTATCATAAAATCATCATCTAATAATAGTAAAATGCTGAGTGGAAAACGCCTTTGGCAAATGATTCTGCTGTCTGAACAATTCGAATTGGAACAGGTTTTCTCCAGGCAGTTAACAAGTCTTAAAAAGTCAACTCTAAACAACTGAAAGTGTTGGGGCACTCACTTTGCGAATACTCCTCTCCCATCTGGGGCGGGTACTCCTCGTCCCAGTCCACCACATCGTCATCAGTGAGCACAACGATGTGGCACTCCCTCTCTCCACTCTGCGCACTGGCCACCATCAGCGGCAACACCATCTCCTCCAGGTAGAACTCGAACTGCCGCCGTGCGCCGTCGTTTGACAGCTCGTGCATCAGGGCGCCTGTGAAGAACAGCACAGTTAACACAGAAACAGACAGACACATACAGCAGAAAGGCCCTTTGCTCCTTGTGAAACGTTGCTATAGCCTATTGAATTACTGCTTTTACTGGACCAGCACTGTAAGATTCCACAGCACTTTATATCCGATATGCATTATTAGAGCGAATCCCACTAAATAATAATAATATTTGTGAAGTCAAAGAGTGACGCAGAGAATATACTCACTCAGGTCCCTGCACTTGATCGTGCTGTAGTCGAAGGAGATGCACAGATAGTCACATGCTTCCCTCAGCTCAGGAATGGAGATTCCATCAGGGCAGCGGATTATCCCAGATTTATAGTAATCCTGCCATTTAGGTAGAGTGCAGACAACACAAAGGCAGCCATTACAGAGGCGGCACCATTCAAAGACATCGGCTCTTAAAAGCAAAAACGGCACAGTTGCCAAGGCTCTCGAAGTGCTGACACTGGTTTTGAGCCAGCAGACTTGGGGAGGTGGAGATCACTCAGCTATAGATAAAAGTACACAGAGCTTTTGGTGACCATACAGGAATGCAGTTAAACCTCCCACTCATGTACGCATCACTTTCATCCTCCTTCACTGAGAGCAAGCCAGAAAAACTGATTTAAAGCAGAGGTCAACTGTGAAGGTATTCCACCTGATACTCAACGGTCTCATTACCGATTCCCTCTCACACTTTCACTCACTCTAGCACACCCCTGTGCCGCAGAGGCATTCTACAGTGTCCTGAAATCAACCCCTTTACATAACCGTATGTAACAGACACCAGGCCATGATTACAGCGCCAGGTTGGGTGGCAGCTTTAGGCCTCCATGGGCCACAGCACAAGGCTCGAGCATATTGAACCAAGGCTGATGTAAGGGTTTTAGCTCCATCATTAAAAAGCAGATGCTGACAAATATTATGCAATGTTACCCAAAACAACGCACAGGCTGAGCTTTACATATAAAGTAAAATACGCAGCAATGGGTACGACAAATCACTGACACAGCAAAGCAAACTTTGTGTCTAATATTATTTAAAATCATTCGACAAATCACCTCTGAAGGTGTAATTCTTAATAAATTAAGTGCTATTACAGCGTACAGCGTACAGCGTACAATTCACTATAGGCTTACACACAAGTAAGTTAAATAGCTCAATTGTAACACCTTCATGACAATCAAATTCCTAAAACTAAAACTCACGGTAGGTCATGAAACACAATTCCAGCATTAGCACCTGGTGTGACCACAATTTACCAGTAGCCGCTTGACACAGTTCTAGGAAAAAATCCTGGAATTTTTTTTAATCAAACTGCTGCAAAATGGGTGTTGCATTTATATTTTTTTCAGTATACATATTTTGTTGTAAGTGAAAATAAGCACACATCCTCAAAAATGCAAAATTATTGTTCATTTACAGAATTTAACATACTGTGGGAAAGAAAATGTAACATTAAACGTAGCCTGTGCAAAGATTATAACACAACATATTTTAAGTTACATGTTTTATTTTATATTTTTTCCAATCTGTGAAACTCAACAAATAAACAAATAAAATTTGCAGCAAAATGCCATAGTTAGGTGTGTTCTCTGTAGAACTTATTTGTGTTAACTTCTTTTCACTTCATTTGACCAGGGTGTTTGCATATGAACATGTGAGTTCAAATTCCATTAACCAAAAAGACAAGACCTTAATTGGTTAACAAAAGCATGTAAACCATCTAATGACAAAGCCAACTTACCAGAATAGCCCTAAACACAGTGGAACTGATGCCCTCTGCCACCTCATACTCTCCTTTCTCATTGGGGCGTGTAAAATTGTGTTCTCTTCCGGAACCAAACATTCTATAAAATGAAAGACAAAAACAGGGTTTATTATTATGTTTAATCAATATCTCTCTCTGTAGATGTAAATCAACTTGAAAAGCTGTAGCAGTAGGGTGGGGTGATATGGCAAAAAATGTATCAAAATACTTTCACAACACATGAAATTCATCACAATACTACATTTTTCTTATGTCTAATAAGTTGAAACAGACAGGAAATCTCAGCAGTGCCACATTTAAAAATACAGGGTGATTCAAAAAGATTCATCTGATTTCAAAATGATTTATTTCACTTGTAAATCATTACAGAACAATGCAGTAAATTGTAAATGGTTTAAATGAGCATAAAGTTTATTGAGTAATTGCTCAATATGAACCTCCTCCAGCTGTACGGACAACATCAACGCCATAGTCAAATTCATCCCATACTGGATTGAGCATGTTGGGTGTCGCTGCACTCACGGCTCTTTCTGTGCGATTTCGGAGATCATCCAGTGTTGTGGAACCAACAACGAACGCTCTGAGCTGTTGGAGCTTCACTGCCCACAAAAATCACACTGCACAGTTATGATGGATTCACTCTTATTGAAGTGGAGAATGCAGAACGCTTTGTGCTCAAGGGTCTCATCTCCTCTCAGACTGAAAGGAGCCATCTTCCACTGACAGTCAGAAACACTATGACCCCCTCTTTTAATTGGATTGTTATTGGTTCCTCGGCGCCTCACGGTTGTAAAAATATGGCGCTTTGAAATCAGATGAATCTATTTGAATCACCCTGTATTATCAAAAACTGTACAATGACCAACATTTAACGCACTCCACACTAGGGAATTTAACACTATGACAATAAGTATTGCAATAACAATGTACATTATCGTAATGCAGCCATTTCCTCCTTACCTGCCCAGCATTGTGTTGGGCTGTGCGGTAAAAATGGAGGGGTCCACTACAAAGCGTGTGTTGTCCACGATGAGCGTGACCCTCTCTGAGGTCCGGATGCTGCGAGCTCCCTCCTTGACGTTTTCATAGATGAAGACCATCTCGCCCACGCCCGTGCTCTTCAAGGTGCCCTCTGAGCTGGACAGGCTGCTGTTGCGACTGCTGACCACCCCACTGCTGCTGCTGGAGCCACTGGGAGAGACTCTCTGAGGCCTGGGGCTGCTGGGCCGCGATGAGCCGCCCTCTCGTTCTGCGCAAACAGCACATACTCAATACGCCGAATACAGTAGTAAATTATAGTTAGACTACACTTATAGATCAAAAGAACATCTGACACAAGAGAGAATACAAGGAAATGCAAGCTATGTTTCCTTCAGTGACTCAGCATTCCATCACAGCTGGCCAGGTGCCCTTCATTTTCCAAACAATAGCCAACCAACTGTTTGACACAGCCACAAATATGTATACTCTTGCTGAGACTGATAAGAGAGGGGTCTCTCACCACTAGTGTGCTGGCGTGTGGGTGAGGTGACGTTTCGGATACAAGGCGTGAGCTGGCCTTCCCCCCGTTCATGAGAGGAATCTCTTGAACGGTCACTCGACCGCCGGCGATCTCGCGAGCGGTCACAGCCTCCACTGGCACCATGCAGGCTCATCTTCACCCAGGGAGCCTCAAGTGCAGACTAGCAGGTCTGGCCTCTGAGAAAAAAGCAGCTATGTTAATTCCAGGCAATACGAAAAACACGGTCACACACGTGGCGCTACACGTGCAGTCCGTGGGTTTATTTTCAGCACCTGATAAGATGACATTGCAACATGAAAGGAAATGCCCTTAGCCTCTCAATGTTTTTTCAGTTAGTCTATAAAAAAAAACACAGACAAACAGCAACCGACAATTCTGTGAATATGAAGCTGGTACTCTGTGCCAATGGCAAATCATTAACAAACAAAGAAACAAAAAAAACTCCTTGTACATTCTGGAATTAACCAGATTTAATTTAAAAAAAAAAAAAAGCTGAAAAGGCCAAAATGGTTGGCAGAGCAGCCTCATCCAAAAGCCTGGCTTTTCTTTCGTCTTAAATAGGCTCTTTTTGTGCAAACGGAATATGAAAATCCTCCATAACGATGAACAGGAATTTCAGTATGCACTGACTCAGTATGCACTGACTAGGCAAGTCATAAGAGTGTTACCGGTGTCTCCTTTTCTGAACGAGCCTGTTTTCAGGAACATAAAACACCCTAAGCTACATCACGCTCTTAAACTGGAGTATCTTTTTACTCGAGGCCTAAAAGTAACCCTTGTTCACAAAGGCAGACCTTATAACACATGGAACAATGGGTTTTACCTGAACTTGCTACACTATGAGTCAGAGCAGGTAGGGATAAACAGCGATATAACCCTGTTGTGCATCACAGCTGTGAACAAAGGGCTGAAAACAAAAACATTTTCCATTTTCTGTCTCCATGTTAAATATTTCAGCAAAGCCACAGCCCCTTCAATTTCCGGATACAGTGAAAACAGGCCTACTTTGGCCTCTGGAAAACCAGGAAATTCCACAGATAGTTTTCCTTCTAGACCACCCTGCAAAAAATAGACAAAAATGACGAGAAAATCCCACCCCTTTTGGTCAAAGCTGGGCAATACAAAAGCAATGCAGTGAATGAAGATGATCAAGCAAGGAACCACTGGCTTCTTATCAGAAATCAGACTACTGTCTGACAACACTGTGCACGGCCAAGGGGCTGTTACTGTTGGGCTATACGTCCAAAGAAGAAGATTGGTCCTCTTGACAGGAAATGTGATGATTCAAACAGTGGTTAGCACAGCATACTCATTACTGAGGCCAGTGGCTTCTAGGTTATGGGCAGCCAGAGGCAAAGCCCATAGAGAACTAGCAGAACTGCACGTTTGACAGAATGTAGTTTAAACCCAATCAGCTAAAGTAACCTTTGAATCCAGGATGCTGGGTAACGTTGATTTGATAAAAACGACCCAAAACGTGACTAGTTAATCATTCAGCAGAGAACAAGGAAGAAGCTAATCGCTCAGTTTATCTTATGACTTACGGATTCTGTTGATACTTAAACCTGTAAACCAGATCAAATAAGCACTGTCACTTCCCGTCGTCCACAATTCCCGGAGTCGCTGGCTCTCGTAGATCATATGACAGCGGACGTGCTGTCATTACACGCACCCCAAACACACCCGTCGAGATTCTTCTTCACGCAGGCAGTCAGGTTTTACATGTTATGAAATTAAAACTCCCTCATAATGGACCATTCATTAACTGCTAAGACAAAACTATGGAGTCATCAGAGACGCATAGGTTAACTCCTGACTTCAAGACGAGCACCAACTAGCTGTACAGGCACGAACTGAGACTGAGGCAAGCCAGACGTCAACGATATCAATTCACCACAAGTAGACCCAGTTTATTTACCTGTTAGTTAGCTAGAATCGCTGGACCTCAGTTAACTTTATGACATAAAATCATCATAACGTCTAAAACTTCGCACAAGCTAACGTCAGATGGCTGTCTAGTTCTAAGAACTGTCAGACAGCTGACATAAGGCTAGCTAGGACAACGCAGCTGGTTGCTTTTGGTTTCACCAACTTTAAATTCAAAAGACCACAATAAAATCTACCAAAACAGGCTGTTAGCTAACGAGGAAGTTCAAGGTTATCACCACAAGCTAACTACGTGAAAACTGAACTTACAGCCGTGTCTACCTGCCGAGCCATCCGAGAGGAACGTCTTCAGGCAGGCTAGGTTAGCTAACGTTAGTTATATTTTTCAAAGTAGCTACCGACAGCCAGCTTAGCTCGCTCCGACCTCACTGGAACTCTATCAGAAAGTTATCTAGAGTTTACCAGAGGAATGAAGCGACCAAACACAGCTCAAAACGCCTCATGAGGCTCCGAGGTTGTCGTTAGCTAGCCGCGTTTCCGTTGCTCTGTTAGCCAGTTAGCATCGCTAGCACAGATTTGAAAGGAATTCGGCTGAAGGAAACCGAAAAGCAGCCAAAGCCAGGCGAGAAAACAGCCACTCTTTTCGCGTCTACGGACGCGATTCCTCACCTCTACGCCGTCATAAGCACTGGTGTTTGAAAGAGTCTTGTTCTGAAAGAGTCAGAGCACTGAGAGACAGAAATCAGGCGAAATTCCAGAGACGTCTCCGCATTTTCCAAAAAAGCGAACTCGGTTCTGCGCTGAGCGCCGCTGCTGACACAACTCAGCCCAGTCAGAAAATAACAGAGCGAGGTCTCGCGAGAGCAGACCACAGAGTAGCAGAGAAAAGCGGCGTAACGTAGTCTCGCGAGAACTGACAACAGGTCCGCTTCAGCAGCTGGCTGCTTCGAAAAATTTCTTCTCACTTTTGTGAAGTTCTGATGCTTTTTATTCTCCTTCAGACACTCTTTAAACTTGTTGTAGGTGTTTCTGGGGCGCGGGGTTCCTCAGTAAGCCGGATAACTCAATCCAGAAGTGAGGACTAACCCCCTAACCCTCCTCCTGTTGGACAAGGCTTGGCTTTTTTTCTGATTTGACTGAGAAATCCAGCTTTGTGAAATACCTTCCTGTTGCTGACATCTGCTTTTTTTAAAAAGACTTTTTAGATACGTCACTCTTTGGCGTTCGTGCAGTTTCTCATGTAAATAACCAGAACATATGGAGTTGGTTCAGGCTTTTTTTTTCTGAATTGCTGAATGTAAAAAAAAAATAAAAATAAATAAACATTTTAACAAACATTTTTCTTTCATTTAGACTAGGCTACTACAGTGATTCATGACAAATGAAGAATGAAAGCATGTTAAATATGCCCACATATGATGACCTAAAGCAGAAGCCGTGTCCTTCACTTGTCCTAGTTGGTTTGATCTCATTTGTACAGCCTTAGCCATTCAACAAACATGTCTACAGAGATGATTTTATATCAGACAACAGTGAAATAAATTAACACATAAAAATAAATACAACAATTGCAGATCAGTGCATTTTTTATCAACAAAGACTTATGGTTTAATGTCTGCACAGAGGCAATGTGTTGTTTCTCTGTGATGACATTAAAATTTAGAGTGAAGACACTTTTTAAATGTTCACTTTTTTCTTTTAGGTAAGACCAAACTTGAAGACGTCTCAGTGTTAGCTCAAGGTCCCGACTGGATCTTCCCAGCCGTTGAAATATCTGGAAAAAAAGTCCTGGTTTTTCCTTTTTGTCCTTTTTGCGAGTCGTTGACGGAGGGGATCAGGATAGACTTCAGCTTCACCTGCAGCCAGTCCTGCCTTTCTAGCACTTGCTTGCGTTCTCCAACATTGTGCATGAGCTGGACTTCACTGATGGACCTCTTGCTGTGGGAGAATCAACAGTGGTCAGTCTCATAGCAACCAGTAACAAGGAAAGTAGTTTTACATAAGTTCACTAATACGACTCAAGGCAATAAATCTCTACCCTACCCGACTGGTAGTCCCTCCAAACGTGGCAGACTGCACAGGTTCCACAGCAAAATCATTAAAATGGTTTTGTCCATGGCAAGTACTGATGACATTGTGTTAGCTGTAACATAAAGAAAGTTGCTCAGAACGACAAACAATTAGGAACCAATGTTACAACTGATCTTAAAAAGATTCAACTTACATAGCTGTGGCTGGTCTGTAGCCGCAGTTTACGCTCCATGTGTTGGTCAGCGTTCGTTTTCATGTTGGCCGCTGCTGTCCCTCTCCTTTTATGCCCGAGCCCCCTCCCATTGGTCATTGATGAGCAATCCCGATTATTGATGGTGATGTCAGCCCATCCTTTGAAGGGGACAGGCATGTATATGACGACACCTCTACAGACCCCCGCCCCACCACTTCTGTTTTCAACACCTCCACTAAGATCTACTGTGATCAAACCGCTGGTGAAGTTATGTCACGTATGGATGGCTGTGATGTTGCCAAAGTAAAAGCAAACAATTTTGCATTCACTGGAACTCTGTGCACGCACTTTCAGCAACCCAGAAAGGAATATTCTGGATTATTAAGATGGTGGACGATATAAATCAGAGCAAACTTGAGACAGAAGATGGTGAGATTTAGAAGCCCAGCTGAGAAGACGTAAAGAACAAATGAAAGCTGCCAGCGAAAGTACTTGCCAACGTCCCGTGGTGAGGCCTGCTTTTCTGTGGATGCCCAACTGTATTTCTCCACCACTTGTTTTCTCCCAGACAACGACAGCTCAAAATCCAGCTCCCATAAAAAACAGCCTTTGGAAGAAGACTCACTAAGGAAAGCCCCATCGCTCCTGGTTTGTTTGTGTTAGCCATAATGCAGACAACAGCAAGTTGAGGATTTATTATCATCTGTTTAATACTTGACATGTGATATTCCTGCAATGTAAAAAAGAGACTGTCTCTAGTCTTTGCTCAACACCACAGTGCAAAACAAGGCCTACCTGATGCTTACATGATCTATGAGAAGTGGACAACCTTGTCATACTCTCATGGGACACATTGGGTAACCATGAGAGAAGTTTTCTAAATGTGGCAGAGGAATGGCTATGTCATGACACAAGTAGTAAGTCCGAGGAAGAATCCAAAACGATGTGCAGAGCAACAAATCTCTCCCGTAGTAATGAAAGTCTTCTATCTTGGGTTGGGAGGCCATGATGTGATTCTCTAGTTTCACAATAGTGCATATTCCCTTCGGTATCTCCTAAATCAGAGAGGGCGAGCTTAAATATTGAGGTCAGGAGGACTCCGCCCACGAGACCACATGGCATAGCACATAGACTGGAATTGTTCGGACAATGCTCAGGATCTCTTTCAAAGGGCAAAGGTTGATTTGTGTGATGCGTGTCATGTAAAAGCACTGTGGTAGGTTGTTATGGTGTCACTGGATGCCTCGTGTCCGGTAATAATAGCAGCTTATTTCATGTGTGGTCAGCATGACGTTATGGTGGTCTTTTTCATTTCATTTCTTTGGTTCATTCTGAATTGCAAACACGTTAGCCATAGACCTGAATGGTATGTCCAGTATGGCGCTGTGTAAAAGACAGAGACCAACCAATTGATTTAATATACGAACAAAATGGCCAGTAGATTCAGCTTAGATCCACAACCCTGCAAGATCTGGTAGACCACCACACCTGTCAGATAGACAATACTTAAAGCTTTCAACTTTGAGAGACTCCACTCTTTCTTCAGATCTGAAAACATCCACAGGTGTTTCTGTCCATCCTTCCACTGTGAGAAGACGACTCAGCACTAAGGGTCTGAAAGGATGAGTAGCTGTCAAGAAGCTGTTACTGAGAAAATGTCTTCAGACAAAAAAAAAGAAAAAAACAAAGAAAATGTGCAAATGGGGGTCTTGGAACAATGGAATGACCACCCCAGAGTCCAGACCTCAACATCACTGAATGTATTTGGGATTACTTGGATCGAGAGAATCAGAAAATACAACCAACTTCTAAGACTGAACTTTGGAGGTGTGGAAAAACATCCCTGCTGATTTCTCAGAAAAACTGAAAGCAAGTCTCTTGAAAAGAATGGACGCTGTAATAACTGAAAAAAATATATTGTATTCAGTTGTTGAGGTTTGTGTAATTTTCTGTTAAATATATGCTTGTTTTACATGCTGATGTTTATGTACTGGCCTTTTTGACTGAAAATAAAATAAAGCGGTTGTACAGCAAAGCAGTTTTCATTGTTTTCATTTCATTGTTTAGTTTAATGGCCAGGTCCAGCCAGCCTGACCTTACCTTTATTACCCACTTGCATAACTTAAACATAACTCAGCTAGTTTGAATTGGTTTCCATATAGTTGCTGAATAATAAGCCTTAGGATGTAATAAGGCTGGGTTTCGTAAGGTGTTAATATGAGAGTCATGCATTTATCCTCAAGGTCTTTGCTCTGGAACAGAACACAATAATGACCACGCACTGACCACAACGGCTTTAGCACGGAATTCAAATTTCACATGTAAACAGCTCTGTCCTCGCGCCCAAAGCTGTCCTTGCACTGACGAAATTCATTCTGCATCGTGGCCTGCAGCATACGTGGAGTCAACCCGACCAAACTGTTCACATTACCTCATGCGGGTACAATGTTTGTCATCCCACTAATGGCATGTCACTGCAGCAGTGTGCAAAGGAACTTGGCAGGGATTAAGGTGAAGAATTGCTTACAAACCATTAACTGGGGGTCACCCCCATGCTGCTATGACAGCCATGCCGCATGAAAATCACGTAGGTTTCCCTCTAAATTTGGAACAATGAGGTAGATATATAGAAAATAAGTCTATATATAACCTTTTTAGTTAAGCTTGGGCTTGGTATGCTCTTTTAATACCAACATGAATGCATTATTTTTATCTGGGGAATGTGGAAAAAGCTAATGTGAGAAGCAGCCTCCCACACACTTTAGTGATTCTTTGCAAGACATTAATAATGCATGACCGGAGATAAAAACAGATTGCACTGGATCCCACTAAGGCTTGAAAGTGAGATTCTGCTGCAAACAATCCTCCAGCTAAATCTGGAAATGTATAGTTAAGTCTATAAAACATGATTGTTATAATTTCTTACTAATCTAAAAAACAGACTTTTCCAGTTTTATTTCCACATGCAGTGCATTTACTCTTGATTGCATAAACCAACACAGACATTTCAGAAAATGCAATGCATGAAGACACAAATCTGATACCGTTAAGAGGGGAAACAAATACAGTGCCCACCAAAAAGTGAAGTACAAGTTATTCATTTTTCAGTGTCAGAAAAAAAGCAGAAAACATATGTTTGACATAAAATTACACAAAAGCTTCCGAAATATCACGTCAGTGTTTCTCCTAAATTAATATACAACAAATATGCACACTGCCTGGCTTGGATGAGACATTAGGGTGTAACTGGCAAGCTAATGTTCGCTTCTTAGCGGTCAGTTTTTATGAGGTATTCACTTAGTTTTTAAAAACAATAATTTATTTTTAAATTGAAAATGCACTAAATTCAGATCCCAGTAACACGTAGATCAGTGTGTAGAACGGCCGAGCTGGTTTGGGCCGAAGGATCAGCGTAATCTTCTTGTATCTGGTCATAGTTAGTCTTGTGGGGTCAGATGTGATTTTGTAACAGGAATACACTTCTGGATAGAACATGTTAAACTTTTGCTGCAGCAGAATCCATCACTAACAAGAGTTTGCCTCCTCTAAAACTCACCCCCAAATCCCTGTAGTCCCTGCTGCTCTAACATTCAGAGTACAATCATAATTAAAGCCAAACAAGGTAACGAGCAACTTGCCATCCTTAAATAATGGAACTGTTTTTCTCTTGCAAGAAGTTTCTGGGGGACTTTTTTAGCTATGATAACTTACATTACAAGCACATGCTAACAAAAGGCTTGATGTCTGTCGGACAATGTTGCTGAATGCACCATTGCCCCCTACCTTGAGCTCTGCCTTCACGAGACATTGGATTGTATTAAGAATTTCCCAATCAGTTTATTCCCATCCTAATAAGTCTACATTCCCACCCACATTTAGCCCAAAAAAAAAACGGTTGTCCCCAGATGTCCTCATTACAAGATCATGTCTGGCCCCACAAGACGCCAAAGGTTGTACAACATAAGAAACTACTTAATTTTTAAGGAACTATTAACACTATTCTTATGCATTTCTACAGAAATATATGCAAATTATTCTTTAAGTCGTTAACTGTAAAGCATTCAATCATACATAAACACTTTGTATATCAATTAACAGACTATAAATGAACTCCTACAATCAATCACAACTACACTTCTTGAAAATAAGTGCATAGTGTATAGTGTATAAGTGTACAGTGCATTTGTCAAATAATTCTGATGATGTTACACTGATCCCTGCACGTTTGATATCACCATGTACATACAACACCCACAGTTTTGAAGGGTCTACCACCCGGCCTGAAAGAAATCCAGGGGAAACACTAAATGTATCAGTATTTCATTTTATAATCAGTCTTTTCTGTTGTGCACCCCTCTGTCACTTTCACTCCTCCATCCTTCCAATCTTAAAACCAGCAGAGACACTACTATTCATGAATATTCACACAAGCAACTACCCCAACACACCTTAGCTGCCTTTAAACGTCTTTTAGCATGCTCATCTAAAGTGGCTGTAGGAGGTATTTGTGAGGAGGGAAAGGTAAAGCCAAAGGGAAATAGTGAAGAGCAGGTGTTTTTAAAAGTAGAGTTCAAAAATAACTCAAAGATACAGAGAAAATAGGACTCCTAACAACCACCTGGAAGACCTGGTAGACCCCAAAACTGCCCCCATCAGATTAACAGCACTTCAAGCTTTCATCTTTGAGAGAGAGGAGAAAATCAAGCTGCTTCAGATCTGAAAACATCCACAGGTGTTTCTGTCCATCCTTCCACTGTGAGAAGACGACTCAGCGCTATGGGTCTGAAAGGATGTGTAGCTGTCAGGAAGCTGAAACAGAAGAAGAAAATTTTGACTAAAATACAGAAGCTGGACATCTGACATGTGGCATAGTTTTACAGACTGACCAGTCTAAATTAAAGATCTTATAAAGTAACAGAATGCAGTTTATACGCAACTGAAGCAATGTAGGACTTTGTGAACCGTGTCTACAACCACCAGTCCAGCACGGACACACTTATCAGGAAAAGAAGCTGCTGGTTCTCTCAGAACAATGGACTGACCACACAGAGCCCAAACCTCAACATCAACAAATGTGTTTGTGATTACTTCAATCATGAGATGCAGAAAATTTAACCA